GCAGCCCCAGAGAAACAAGGCTGGACAGCGTTCTTGGAATGAACGTATTGGCAGGAATGTTGTTGACGTGTCAGGAGATGTGGAGAAACACCAGCAACTCAGCAAGGCTGAAACAAGATCTGTGAACTCTGCTGAGTCTGAAACGAGTCGCTCTCACCACATTTCATCCCAAATCTACAGACGCAGATGGATTTATGGATCCAGTCGGGTTCAGACCGGATATAAACAAACATGGTGATGCTAACAGTTGAGAAACAACTGCTGGTGAATCCAAAATGAATGTTGTAGTTTAAAACGAAGTATGCGGAAATGTTCGTTGTTACATTTCAAGTTGCAATGCTTGAATATTTTAAGAAAATGTTGCAGATCCGTCAGCAGCTTCAGGAAGTCGCTGACGGTTTTTCATCGTCTGCGGAAGGAACAACAGTCATTTTTAAATATTAATGTAGAAAATAAAAAGATGTTACACTCAGAACCTGATGAGCTGGTGTCAAACTGTCACATAGTTTTAAAATGTTTGCAGATTTTCTGACATTGAAAACTGAATTTTAAATAATAAATTTGCATCATATTATTTTTTCAGGCTTTACTGTGAAAACCTATATATGATTTATGAGAGATCATATTCAGAAAGGACAATAAATATGGAATCAAATTTATTTAACAAAAAAGAAAGATCAGAATTTAAAAAATTTGGCCTTTTATTTTATGTAAAAGTTTTTTTATCTCAAATCTTCACATGCAAATGCCAAAGTTTTTCCCTATGCAATAACCATTGTACGCATTTTTGGATGTTATTTTATTTTATTAAGTAGAAACCTTGATATTTAAGCATTGCACTTCAGTTAAATCTGATTGAAACAGACCAGGCACAAAAGATCAAGAGGTTCCTGACACCTGGAGTCTCACAGCAAAATCCTTGAACTTTGAGTAAGACAAAAGGACAGGATGATGGGAATGTCATACATGGAAGCAGTTAAATAAACTGTAAATGTTCGTTTCAAACATTGTTGTGTTTATTTCACAAGTGTTGGTTTGGAAATTGTTGCCAAAGTGTTTAACAGACCTCAAAACTCCTGGAAAGCAGATTTTCAACAGTTGAGTTGCTGTTGTTTTGCAGCCAAAGATGATGAAAAGAGAGAAACAATCACATATTAACTGTAATATTTAATTAATATGCAATGTGGCATCTATTACAAGGAGGGAATAAAAAACAGTGATTAAAGATGAGATTTCGATAAATAAGAAAGCAAGAGGTGAACATGGTGCTACTGAGGCCAAACTGAGCATTTATCTTTTATTATGAGGAATGATAAACCCAGAGACATAAATGCCAAGAATGGGGAAAAAAAGTTGTGAGCAAAGAAACTGCGAAAAAAAAAAACAACTCTCTCATATTCTCGTATGAGAGCTGAATGTGAATATTGTTGTTATTTTCCTCTAATATTTGTCACTCATTTGGATTGATATTTAAGCTCTGCATCCTCCCACATGTTGCCATCCATCAAACCCTTTCTGTAAATGCTGCCACCCAAGGAGGAAAACAACAAGCGACAGTAACATGACAGGCTGGAAACCAAACCTCCACTTATTTAGAACAATGATGGTGGAAAAAAAACCTGCATGACATTTTAGATGTTTTCGTGTTTTTCTTTTTCTTCTCTGTCTGTAAAAACAAAAAGGGATGCAGTCTGGCAGGCTGTGTGAAAGCAGCAGTGGGTCTAATTTATTTTTCAGAGGCAAGAAAAGGTTCAGAGGCGATGGGAGAAGTTCCTATTGGACGCGCTGCAGAGAGACAGACAGCGGGACTGACGTGGCTTCTTTGAGTATTTTCTACTAACACTTCATGTGGAAACAAGCTCACATATTAACTTGATTCCTGACTGAAGTCTTATTTAACTTTATCAAGGCAGCTTTTTTGCAAAGAACCTGCAAAGGATTTAAAGACAATTTATATTTTTAAGGTTCAGGCCTGATCACAGTCATGTTAGGACAAGTTTGTCAAAATGAAAAACAGAATTTATGCACTTAATCAGACAGGAAGGTCTCCACTTGTCTGCACTACACTGAGTTAATAAAAGCATCTCCAGGTCTCATTTGTAGCTGATTGCATTTGTTCGTTAGTTTCAACAGTTATCTTGGTATAATGGCACATTTTGAGGCAGCTTGTGTCCATCCAGATGTTTTATCCATCAGGTGAAAAAATGGAGGCTAAAAATACAATTTATGAAGTAATTATGAGTTTTTATGTTCCACAAACAAAATGTTTCCTTCAAGAGTAAAATTACAACAAGCTCAACGAGTCATGGAATATTTTAAAGCCCAAATGCGAGGCTGACTCTGCTGGTGATTTATCAGAGGTGGCCAATTACAATCCTTGTTGATGTCCTGAATTATTTAGCTGCTTTTCTGCACCAGTGCAGCTGAAATAATGTATGAATTACTTCCTCCGTCAGTTCTGAGTTTGGACTGGAGGATTGTTGATCACTGCCTCTATGTTTGAGCTTTCCTTTTGTCTGTCTGTGTTGGCTGTGAGGCACTGACCAGAGCATCATTTGATGTCAGAAGGAAACACTGAATTATAAAAAGCTCTGGCTCTGCAGTGGGTGGTGAGAGCTGAGAATAAATCACGACTCTTTGTTGTGCGATGGGACTCAGTTGTGGTCTTGTTTCAGCTTTTAGAGCTTTTTTTAGCAGAATGTAACTAAAGATCTAAAGTCAACACCAGTGGGAATCTCTCTTTCCTCCAGAAGATGCTGCCTCAGATCCAGGCTTTTCTCCAAAGGCCTCTTACAATTATGACCAAAAATATCCACCTCGTCTGAACCTGCTTTTCCCTGTTGGGGGACGTCAGTGGTTGAAAAGTGGGACACACTCTGAACAAGGTGAGGGTCTATAAGCAGGAAACAAACAAAAAAGCATGAAGACACACACACACACACACACACACACACACACACACACACACACACACAAGCAAACTTTGAGAGTAATTCATTCGGTTAACCAAGGTCTGGGCAATAAATCACTGACAGTACATGATGCGATAAACATCAATATCAATAGGTAACATGTTGGGAACGCGGCATTCTGGGGGATGTAGGCAGAGCAAAGGTTTTAGCCTCTCACAACCAGCTCAGCTACGTTGCTAACTTCAACTAACTAACTCACTCTTTGGTTACCAAGCAACAACCTGTTGAGTAACCTCTGGTTGCCTAGCAACAACTTGTTAAGTAAGTTGCGCAGCAGCAGTTTCAGGTTTCACCGCCGTTCCTCATGATTGCTAAAAAACAAAAGTAAAAAATGTTTTGGAGGGAAAACTGTGGATAAGATCAGAAAGGCCGTCCCACTATTCTAAGTAAATAGATACTTATTTACTTACTTTATTGTCTTTTCACAAAGACACAACAGCGAAAATGTCTCTGCTTGGCCACTAGAGAACACAAACACAGAAAGTTTGGAAGTATTTCATATATGTTTTTCAGCCATTTTGTCCAGCTCCTGATTAACCCAACATGAACATTTTCAGAGAAAACCATCTCAGGGAGAAAATGCTAAAATGAAACTGGGACTGTAACTTTACTACATTGTTAACACACAACACATAAAAACCAGAAATGCATACACACATTCATTTGTCTACATTTACAAAGTGCTGTTGGGGTTTTAATTTAAACACACAGACTGACAGTTTGCTTGGTTTGGACTCAGCTGTTGGGGAAAAGGTCAGGGAGGTGAGTTCGGGGTGCAGCCGAAACCGCAGCTGCTCCGGCTAATCAGTTTGTTCTGTGAATAAATGCACAAAAGTCCGACTGCATCACATACCACATGGATGTGATGCAGGACCAAATCTTTCACAAATGCAATATCAACATTCAGAAAATAAAATACACATTTTCAGCATACTTTACAGGTCTGCCGCTTTACTTTTTTTTTTGTTTTTTTTAGAAAATGTCAACTTGCCTTTCCTCTAAAGTCATGACTCAACAGATGTTTGGCAGAGTTTACCATCAGCTGCTGCACTTTAGCTATCATTTAGCAGGAAAAGTGCACCAGATGTTTTTGTCAAGGGGAATCAAACTAGACCAAAAGCAGATCATTAAAGCCATTTTAAATGTCACTTTACAGGAAAGACAAGAAAATGAACTTCATTTATTTAAGCTATCTCCCTAACATAGTTTTAAGTATCTTTGGCATCTTTTGTATCATTTATAATTTGATCAGCATCTAAATAAATTTTTTTATGTCAAAATGTCCATTTCAGGTTTATAAGCATACAAACTCACTGCTCTTAAATTAGCAGACGTACAACAGAAATGTCCTTCGAATATCCTGCTACACCATGCAAACGCTCTGTTTGCGCTGACAAAGTTTCACTCGCCTGTGCAGATCTTAAAGTGAAGATTCATCCCATTTTCTCAATCTTTCAACACATATTTGACCATTAGGTGGCGCCCACAGCCTGCATCGACAATTTAAGTTTCATTCCTGATGGTGAAAGGATTATTAACTGAAGTTACAGCAAAACTTCAGTTGGTGTATCTGACATATTTTTCCTAATCTATGCCATGAAAATCAGAGGGCGCATCTTAAGTTTTACATAAACCGTACAGACAGACTTGATGTTTCAAAATAAATGCTTCACTTCCTGTTCTGGCTAAAAAAATAAGCACCAATAAATAAGTTTAGGATCTGATCTCAGATTTGTCTTTCTGGGATGTTTAATAAAACTGAAATATTGTAATCCTTTATTTTTCTTTATCCCCAGCTGACAGGGATGCATTTCTTAACATGTAAGTAATAAAACAAAACTCTAGATCACATTAATAAAGACTGAAAAGAAGTTAGTCTAATAAAATTAGTGAATTATGAGACAATTTGACGCTGAAACCAGTTTCATGTTTCATCCTTGTCTTAAGTACAGACTTTGTTTGGCAGCAAGTAGAGAACTAAGAACAGAAATAACCACGAAGGGGAAATATATGGGAGAGCAATCAGGAGCCATGGCAGCCGGCGAGGCATGAATGAGTGACAGCATCACAAAGACGAGTGGAGGAATGGGAGGAATGAAGCCACAGTGACTGACTGCTGGGAACAGGTGCACTGAGGTAAGAAGTTTCGGTTATAAGAGCGACTGGAGGCGAGAAAAACAAAAAGATGAACAAATGTTCAATTCATTTCAGTCCAATTTTTATATAATGCAATTTTACTACAAATGTCGTCTCAAGACAGGACTTTAAAAAAAGAAAAATCGAATGTTTAAATACAGAAATACAGAGTCAATTCCATCTAATCATGCTTTTCTATCTTGAAACTTTATCTAAAGTTAATGTTGAATAAAGATAACGTGTTCTATGTTCTTCTCGGGTCCAATAGGTTTAATTCATGTTTGTAGCTACACTCTTTACCCACATGCAGAAACACAAATAGGAGATGGAAAATAAACCAGAGAGGTAAAGTTTATTTTCTCAGACAGATAAATATTTGGTGGAGTTTGTGATTTTGTCTTTGGGATCAGAGACGTCTTCATGCTGAAGGCAGGGGAGAGGAGACGGAAATGGACTGCAGGACTGAAACAGAAACTGATTCTGGGACGAGCTTCCTGGGTGAGGTGAGTAAAAATGTTAAACAATTCACTGACAAAACAAACACTTTCAGTTAATAATCCATTTGTTTTCAGAGGGAGGAAAGATGTAAGCGTGTGACTCTGCAGGTCAGTGGAGATATTTCCCTTCGTCTCCATGTAATTTTTATTTTTTATTTTTTTATTGTCCAGTCACAAACACAGTCCCACTGAAGCGGTCAGCTCTCAGCAGTAGCTCTAATATATAAATGTCAGAGCTCAAGTGAAATTAATTTAAAGTGCTCAGCCATGGCTGTGGGACACACACAAATGGGAACAGGGAGACTCCCTGCTGTGCTTGTGTCCAATTACTGAGCAGGTGCACCGAACAGGTCTTTAAGAAAAGGTCAATCACCATGTGACGTGTGTGACATGTGTGTGCGTGCGTGCGTGCGTGTGCGTGTGCGTGTGTGTGTTCTCGGTTTGCCCTCAATTTCAGCCCCAATCTTCAGTTTTCTTTTAATCTACCTCAAAGTCAAACCGATACCAGAGATGGTTGCACAGCTTTAAGGTTCACGCACATCAAATTTAGCAACATGTAGCCCAGCAGCCAACAAACAAACACGCGTCACTGGAGCTCAGCAAAATCTGGTTTTATTCTTCCCCGTAATGCTCAGAGCTACGCTGGTGTTGGGCTATTTCAAAAATAAATAAATAAAAATACAGGGAACAAACTAAGTTCAAAGTGAAACCAGAATTTTCTATAAAAATGCATAAAGTCATCAGTTTGTGGGTGCAGACAGCAACATCCAAACTGAATGCAGATAAGGTGTAAGCCATAAAATAATAATAATCCGCTGTTATTAATCTGTCATTGGTAAATGATACATGCAAAACAAACCTGTTGGGATGTCACAAACCTGGCAGGAAGGACATTAATCTGGCCTGCTGTGACGGATGACCTTCATAACGAACGCCTCACCATTCCTTAACCTCGACTTTCATTAAATCTCCTGCCTGACGCTAATATTCCAACAGGGTCCAATTAATTTATGAAGCACATTTAAAAGACAATACTAATGAGTATGGCAAACCAACTGAGCAATAATGAATGTAGAAAATGTACATAAACAATTAGGAAATAATAAAAATCCATGAATTATGATGAAACTACTGCTTAGAACGATGGACGACTGTAAGATTAGTGGAGCTTCATAGTTATCTTACTGATATCTCTTCTGATGTTCCAAAAACATCAGAATGTTTACAGAAAAACTTTTGTAAGTTTCATTTTAACTCAGATTAACCAATCATAACAATCCCATAATCCTATTTAATATCTTGTTACGGAGTGTGCATAAATATCGGGTTCTAACATTAGGTGGGTGTAGCTTTTCAGCTATTTGAAATCTATATTTTGCATCAGAAATGAATCTTCCTGCTGAATGGATCACCTTGAAGAGAAGTTGCAATAAAATGTGGGGTCAAAGTGCTTCAGCAGCGCTAAGTCTCTGGAAACCAGTATGGAAGATGCTCCTAGGAAGCCAGTGAGATGAATATCAATCAGGACACCATGAGTGATAGTTCAGTCCCTTTCTGTGTTATTATGTTGAAAGAGGACACTTGAGAAACGCTGCTATATATCCAGGGCATGATGAAAATTCTGCCTGCAAAGAAAATGCATCATGAAGCATCATTAAGGCGCTTTGGTTGGCCTCTTTCAGAGGTTTGAGTGAGACTTGAAAGAGAACAGTGAAATAAATGGCTGCTGGACAAACAGGCAGACCTACTTTACTACCTCTGCTAATGATTAGAGCAGGAAATGTTGCAACATACTTTTGTTATTGCGAGGAACCGTCTCTGGGTGCCATCAATGAATTTGCATTGTTATCATTCTGGGTAAAAACAGTGATTTGTCCTTCTTTACTTAAGTAAAACCAGAAATCAGTTGAGGGCTGCCCACACCAAGAGGAAGATCAGTTATTTGACTTTACTGTCTCTTCTTTATGGAAATGTTACTTTGGAGTGATGTTAAACATTAATGGCCTATTTAAAGCCTTCTCCCGGAATCCCAATCAAATTTACATCCAGGCTTTGACAAGGTAAAATAATGTTTAGGTTTGTTGCAGATTATTCTGCAACATGAACCAAATGTACTTGAGTCTAAATATTTACCAACACCCAAATCAAGAATAAAACATAAAAACTAAAAGCTGATTAAAATCTGGTGCTCATGGGTTCAATGTTTGTTTCTGTGCAACATTTTTGAGTAAAATTGTTTAATTCTGCAATTTTTGGCTTAAATCCACCTCAGTGCTGCCCTCTGTGGGTTGAGCAGTGGAACATTTGTAATGGAAACACAGCTAATGCTACTAGTTATTGTCTACATCGCCGTGTTTGGAGATAAAACTATCTCACTCAGACACACGCCCCCTGGTGGCGAGTCAGGAATGAGAGCTATTACATGTCGCCATGAAAGTCTACAATAATTCATAACAAAAGTTGTTAGTTTTTACTGTGTATGTCTTAAAATGTGGCTGCAGTGAGGAAACCATGTTTCCTCGACACAACTTGCATCATCCTGGTTGCTCCTCTGGCATCCAGGAAGAGACGACTCAAAGGTCTGCAAAGTGTGAGATCTCCATTTTTCTGCCATCTGGTGATCTGGGCATTGAAAATGGTTTTTAAATAGTCTGGCAGTGGAAATTTTAGTCATCACTGTGAAAATTTTAAATGTCTTTGCAGTGACTGATGAGTTATTCACAAAAACGAGAGTCATCTTCAAAGCTGAACACATTCAAGAAGAGATTCTAAGTCAAAGTGTTTCAGTTTGTCAGACGCCTTCTTAAGGGGATGAAGTGGCAGATACTTACACTAAAAACTTAACAAAACTTAAAACCACATCAGAATAAACATTAATGTAATGAAAAGTAAAATACATGCAGAAAATGACAGGATTAACATGTGAATAGACATGTGAATGCTCTCAGCCTCGTATTCGTTTTAATTTCCATGTGAACAATAATAATTTCTCATTTCCCAAGAGCTTATCCAGTGCTTACTGAATTTCCATGTGTGTTTAATGCTGCAGTGAAACGATGAATAATCTGCCCTGGAAAGAGATTACATCTGCTAAAGTGGCGCTTTTAACTAAACACACAAAGGGAAACGCCGTTGTTCAGGGATGAGCTCGGCGACTTCCACGAGAAAATAAATAAATTATGATGAGCATATATTCATAATTGCATTGCTGTTATTTCCCTAGAGTCGCTCCTCCCAAAACAACTCAAACCGATGAGTATGTCTCCGTAATCGCCTCTTCGTCTCCCTCCCTGTTTAGGTCTGGAACCGCCGGGATGATGTTCACCTTGTCTGGTATGGCGGCCTGTTGCCTCTTTGTCATTTTAATGAATGAAATTGTTCCAGATTTGCTCTGCTGAAGGTGGCAGCATGTTGGAGTCGCTCTGTTGCCTTTCTTTCAACTTTACTTCCTCCATTTCAGGCAGGAAATTTGTGTATTTTGCACCATTGTCCTCTCTACTTTAGGACGCTGTGCAGCTGGAGGGATTATAGTTGATACTTTCTTTGCTTTTGGGCATTTGTTTGGACGCATAACCATAGCAACAAGGTGGCTTACAAACAGGAGCAGCTGAAAAGCTGAAATAATATCTCAACTGAAGACACAAAACCCGAGTAAGTTGAAAAGGAGGCATAGTGATTGTAGAGGAGAGAAAGAAGGAGGAAGTTCAGACGTCTTCCAACAGTCATAATGAGCAACGGGAGATCGCTGGCTAACAGGCTGGATGAACTCCAAGCAGGACTCAGCCAGAATCCTTAAATGAAGTATTATGTGTTTTACTGAGACACGGCTGGCGGATCATGTCCGCTGCTCTCTCTGCCAGGCTTCCTGAGAGAGATTTATAGAGCGAGAAAAGAAAAGGAGGTGGATTAGCAGTGCTGGTCAACAACAGATGGTGTCATCCAGGACGCATTGCTGGGTAGTGTCGTCTCTGCATCCCAGATATTAAACTCCTGGCAGTCGGTTTCCGTCTGTATTATTTACCAAAAGAGTTCACCGGTGTCACCCTCAGCTGTTTCCCACAATGCATGTGATGTCATCAGTTCAATGGCTGCTAAGCTACAAACACAACACCCTGAAGCCTTGGTGGCGATATCTGGGGCCTCATTTATAAATGTGGTGAACGCACAAAACGTTCCACACAAAGGTTGGGACGTATAAAAAAGCCTAACATGATAGAAGAATCTAGAGTTGTACAATTATACAGTCAAAAGCAGTAATTGCTACATTTTTCATATCAGTTTCAATCTAAATATTTAACTTGCTAGCTAGATATTTTGGCGCAAACTAAATATCTAGCTTGCAAGTTAGCAAGCTAGATATTTAGTCAGTAGCTTGCTAACTAAATATCTAGGTCAAAGCTAAATATTTAACTTGTTAGTAAAATATTTATAGGTCAGAGCTAAATATGTGGCTTCAAACTTTCAGCTCACTGGCTAAATATTAGCTTAGCATTATGTTTCTTGCGTTAACCATTTATGGTTGGTCGTGGTCATGTGGAACACAAAGTGGAGCTTTTATTAAACTTTGAGGTGCGATTTGTAAATGAAAATGGTTTCATGAATCCAGATATTTCAAACTGGAAGACTCTTCCTGCACCTGCATCAGCCAACCGGTGCATCCTGCTCATCACTGTCGACCAATCAACGCTGGTCCAAGACACGTCACGTCCAATCACCGTCCAAGTCGCAGCCAATAAGGACATCCATCCTGCTTTCCAGCAGAGCTCAACCCACCACTTATTATTTCACCACTATTTAATACACGAAGTCATGAAACGTTTCTACTGCATGTGGCTTCTCCAACAGTTTCAGAACGACTTTCTTTAAACAAGTCTTAAACATGTGGAGCGTCTATTCCTGGTCTGCCTGCTGTGTTGCATCAGTCCATTAAGGAGCCACATGTTGTGCTTTTCTGTATCCTCTTCTTTAATAACTTGGTTCCTTTGGATCACGCTGTGCCGTTCGGTCCTGATGTGGGAGGTGATAATTGATCTGTGTTGTCACGCTTGACTCTGAACTTTCCTGTTAGCCAACACTGTCATCTGGTGGAGCAGAATATGGCCACAATGATTACACACCAGAAACCTTTTTAACATTTGAGCTGATATAATAAAACTCTGCTGTTATTCATACATAGAATTGAGTGCGTTTTGAAAAAATTATTTTATTTTACAATATATTTTTCTAACTGCATCATCTCTTTCGTTCTTTCATTTTGCTGTCGTATGCAGCGTACTGTCTTGTAGAGGAATATCAGTCCAATACAGAAGCCTGTCAAGATGAAACAAATCACCACCTGCGTTTTTAGACACACAAAACAAAGCTTGTTGAGTCAATAACCTGACAATCGAGACGTATTTCCATCCTGAACTCTCCCTCACTAAGAGCTCTTTGTCTTTAAATCCATTTTATCTCTTCTTCACTCTCTAAACCAAACTGTAGATATCTTAACTATATTTGGATTCTGCAGCTGTCAGTCCAGATCAGTTACTTCAGGTCTGCATGTCTCCCTCTCTGGTAATTTGTGCCTGGCCAAGTGTCAAAGTTTAGTCTAAATTGTTTTCAACGCAGCTGGAAAACATAGAGATAGAGCATCTTCCAGGGTTGGTGGAAATAAAGATGTTAAAGGAAAGAAACCTCAAATAAATTCAGATTTTAAGGACAGTTGCATGATCAGACAATTAACTGTTCAGCCATAGAGGTTGTTTTAAGTAAACAATTCCTTAATATTGATGAAAATGTTCTCGCTCCATTGGCAGATTATTTAACTTACAAGATGTTTTTACCATGTTATAAATTAATTTATCTGCCAAAAGAATAAGAAAGTTTTCATCAACATTAAGGAATTATTTACTCTATAACTTGCTGAAAAATTACTTTTCAGTTCGTTTGTCTTATTTCACATGTAATAAGATATTTGCACTAGAAATGAGACAAATTATGGATGAATAACTACTCCTGTACAAAAAGGAAGAAGCTAATTACACATCTAGAAATGATTCAGTTTAATGTTTACGGAAATTCTGGGGGATTTTATTTTTAAATTAAAGGCTGTAGAGGATTAATGACAGTGTTTCTACCAGACAGGTCCAGGTTGTGCTTTGCTTCTTATTTCATTAGATGTGAGCATCAATAAAAAGTCTCCTGGCAGCTGCTGTGATCCGTCTGCAATCTCTGCCTAAACACCTGGCCCCATTTAGAAAAATGGCTGCTCTGCCCCACAGCCATGCAGGCAGCACACATGATGGGTCATTGATCATGCTCAGTCCTCAGGGTTTGGGGTGAACAAAGAAAATCACGTCTCTCTTATGCTGCAGAGTTTCGTCGAGCTGCTGGCCTCCATGCCGCATGGAAAAGTCTCGGTGTAAGAAGCCGATTGGCCTCATTTCAGTGAGAGGAGCAGCGATCAGGAGGCAGACGAAGCAAAACGGCACAAAATGAGTGGAACGACCTGGAACTTGTCTGAATAAATGTACTTCTAGAAGTACTTTTACTACACCATACGTTTTACTTTTACTTGAGTCAAATTTCTGGATTCTTTACCCACTGAATGAAAAATGTTTTAACCAAATATTCACCAGACACAGACACACACCTGCAGCTTTCGATTAAGTTTCTTCTGTTTTTTTTTTAAATAATAAATAAACTAATTTGTAAAAATGTTTTTTTGCCAGATTTTTTTTTTCTAACTTATTTGAATTATTGTCATTTTGGTTCTTAAAATACCAACATTTCCTCCATTTAATGATGTAATTTTTAAATATTAAACGATTGATCATTTGAACAGTTACGTTTTACCAAATTTCTTTTTAGTCTTACTTTCTTCAAATTTCTTGAAGAATAAGAAATGCAGAGTTCGATAGTAACTAGTTGCATTTCCTAAACTAATGTTTTATTTTAAAAAATGACCTTTAGGAGTATTTTTCCTACACTGTACTTGTTATTTATTTTTAGTCATTTCATTATGAAGTAGCACGACTCGTACTTGAATAACATTTCTGAACCAAATATTCACGTACCTGCAGTTTCTGCTAAAGTTTGATGATTTTTTTTTATTGAAGCTAATTTGAAGAAATTTTCTTTTGCCTTTTTGCTATTTTTCTGTTACTTATATGCATTATTGTCATTTTCGTCCTTAAAAAAAGGAACATTCTATTTAATTTTGTCTGTCTTATTATGTATTTTGAAGAAAGAATCTCACATAATTGTGTACTTCATATCTTTGCTCTCAATAAATGTCTTTTTTAAAGTCTTTTATGTTAATATTCTTCCTTTACACTCCAAATCTTATGATCATAATATTTTGAATTTATTCATGCTCTTCTAGACAGAAGCATTTATAGGTGCCTGGTTACATGAACAGCCAACAGTTTTAAGAAAAAAGATGGTGAAATAAATAACCTTTGCTTTCAGTAATAAATCAATCAGCAGGGTTTGTGACGTTAAAAACAAATGAGTGAGAGCAAACCGTACAGCGTAGAGGAGAACTCTCCCGGCGGCCAGCTGCAGCACGCCGCTGCCGTCGGTCCCTCTTCCAGACACGTCCCACTGCGACAGAGAGCTCTGGTAGTCCAGGTTCACGACGCCCTCCGGTAAAACACGGACGCCCCAGTAAACTGTCTTCTTCTTGCGATAGTTGATGTCCTGAACTTCACAGCGATACGTACCTGGAAACAATTGGCACATGATTTGCTTTATTATTGTTTATCACAAGACTGTAAATTCATTGTGGACGTTTTCAACATTTACTTTTTCCTGAAGGTTTTCTTGAGATGAGTTAATCTCCTGATGTTTTGTTTTTTTTTCCAAGATGATCAGTGTGTTTTAAACCTGAATCTATCCTAATGTCCCACTTTGGTGTCTCGAGATTCACTTGACAAAAGTACTGGGAATTTAACTTTTTATCTGAAGAAAACCATTCGGGGAAAAGTATGTTTGAAAAAGAAAATCTCGAGAAAACTATTGGAAAATTAATTTGTTATTGCAAGAAAATGGGAATTTAATTTTTTTTTCTCAAGGAAATAAATGCTAAATAAATTTGTCATCTCAGTTTAACATGAAATGAAGTCTTCACCTGGAGAAAACCGTCCCAGGTGAGTTTACCTGCATCCTTCTCTCTGACTGGGTCCAGAACCACTCGATGCAGATCAGGGGCCTTCCAGCGATCAAACAGAGAATCGTCCGAGCTGATTACTCCTCGAGCGTAACGCCACGAAACCCTGAGGGACACCAAAACATTACGCTAAGATCCACAGTCACTCAGAAACTCCCTCACCTGTTTAAAACATTTTGCAGAATAACAGAAAACGGCAAGCAATTCGCAAATCACAAATGAATAACACTGATATAAACCTCAGATAAATAATCACAACATTACTTCTGAGCTTTTCCTTTTGAGCTGGAAGTGAATTGCTGATGAAGACGCGGTCTTTACCTCCAGGAGTACGCTCCCATTGCCGCCATGATTTCTCCCAAGCAGTCGATCTCCACTCGCTGTCCAGAGGTCACAGTCATGGTCTTCAGTCCGCACTGCCACGACTCCACACACTGCACCTGTTGGCTCCTGCATGTCTTTGAAATGCTGGTCCTATTGCTGTCCTGATGGGAATTCAGAAATTCTTTAGAAAAGATCTGCAAATTTCCAAGCTCCAAAAGCTGCAAGAAAAAAAACTAACATTTTCAGATTAATCTACAAAATTAATCTAGACTCAAAGATCCAATCTGAGATCCAAAGGTAAAAGCAAATATTTTACTTTGGAAACAGAAAATTTCCAAAAGTTAAAAATTTTTTTGTACTCTACTGGTTCAGAATTTTTCTGATGTTTTTCAAGAAAGTTTGTGAGATTAATCTCAAAATTTCTGAGTTGCGTAACATTTACATTCTGCATGTGCATGCACAGACTGTTTGCATCCAAACAGATTGGCGTATGAAATAGGTGGAAGGGCGTAAACATAGGACTTCTAAATTAGACTAAAGTATTGACATTAGTCAATATGAATATGGTTGTATTTTATTTTACATACCAACAAAGTTAATAACAGCAGAACTATAAATCTTTAACAGCGCTTTGTTTTTCTTGGCAGAGCTTTGATGGTAATTATACCAAAACATGTATTTAAATTGCTAATCCGACACTCAGTATTAATCCGATTCCTACCATGTGTAACCTACCAATATTTTAGTCCTAAACAGAACGAAGCTGATTTCTGATTCATTTCACTGATACCTTTTCTTGCGGGTTGACTTCCATCGCTGCCTTGCCGTCCTTTACCACGCACAAAGTTTGAGTTTTGATCCCCAGCCCACAGGTCACGCTGCACAGAGAGCTCTCAGTGATGACCTCCAGAGGGACTTTATCCTCCTCTTCCTTCATGTCAACAGGAAGAAGGTGCAAGAGGAGCAGGAAGTGAAGCGTAACGATGCTGACATGCATTCTGATCTTTAAAAAATGAAAACAATGGGAGATGATTCTGAATAATGCAACATAATGAGAAATTGTTTTTCACTTTATGCTAATTTGCAAATTGCTTCTTGACATTAGGGCTATGTGGCTGAAAGATGTTTTAAATCAGTCTATATCTATAATAATCAATTAACTTTTTGTTGTACTTTTAAAATACAACCAAACTGGTGGCATGACTTTTCCTGTTTTATCCTCAGATTTCGCTTCACGCTGTCGTTTTTCATTTTCAAGCAGTTATGATTAGTGTTGTTGAAACATGAAACTGCTGCTGCGTTAGTTTTTCAACTAGTTGTTGCTAGGTAACCAAAAGAGTTGTTGCATACAGCCTTTCCTCTGCCTACATCCCGCAAAATGCTGTGCAGTTCTGGAAGGGAGTTCAGCGGAATCACTGAATATTATATCAGACCTATTATCAATTAATATCTTCTTTATAGCGGTAAGCTAAACAGTGAGCACGCTCTCTATGAGTGGAGTTATTGACCTTCCGCTACGCATGTGGGACACTTTCAGGCCGTTTGCAGGCGCATATATTTGGAAGTGTAAGCGACCGTGCAAAAAAAATACATACAATTTTTAAAAAATTTATATTTATATTTAAAAAAAATAAATAAAATTAAATTAAAAAAATCTGATTTCATGAAAAGAAGAAATGAAAAAATTCCGGCTGTAATCTGAATTTATTTATTCGGAAACTTTTACATTTGAAGAAAGTAATAAAAAAATATCTGTCATTATTCTGGCTTTTTTATAGCTTTTATAGCTTATAAAAGTTTCTATCTGTTTTTAGAAGTGCTACGAATAAACTTGACATTGATGATTTTGGTAACTAACTCATCTAAAACAGAGAAATTTTCATTTCATTCTATATTTTTTGAGGTAACTGGCAGTAAAAAAAAATGCATGAAAACATGTATTTCAACAACTGAAAATGAAAATATCAGAAAAAGTTCTCTTGACTTCGTTTGTCAGAGTCTAACTGAAGCTGCCAAAGAAGTTAAATGCACTTACCGTCACCATGAAGCAAAAAAGAAATAAATAAACTGGTTATAAATTAAAAGTGGCATTTTTCGACCTCATGTTTTGCCATGGAAACGGCGAGTCCAGAATGTGAATGCTGGAATATTTGCATCATAATTGAAAAATAGGATTAAATAAGCATTCAAAAGTTGAGTATCTTGAGAGAAAACAGTCTTTACTTTGCCATTGTTGTTTACATCCCAAAAACTACATTTCAATCCATAGATATGAGGAGTCATGTCGCAGTTTGGCCACTAGATGTCGCACGAGCACAAAACAGACGACGAGATTGTTGTACTTAAATTTAAATTAATAAATTATGAAATACAGAAACAGAATAATTTCTATATTGGTTTACTGAATTTAACCAAAGAAACACCAGGAATGATGACATGAAATAAGCAAAAACACAACAAAGGACTCAAACCTTCGTCTTGATTGGATAAAAATGGATCTGATTTAAGACTCTAGATCTAGATTTTAAGTAAATAGAAATAAAAAATTTATTACAGTGTGTTTTACTTCTTTGAAAGCACACTAAGAGATGATTTAATAAATAAATAAATTAACTCTTAAAATTCTCAGTATTTGCATCAAATTTTTATTTTTGCTATTTATTGATTAATTTGGATTAAATTATATGTAATTATTAGTTCTTTTGAACGCACCATTCTTTTTATGAACCTCAATCCACTCCAAGCTTTATAGAGACTTGGTTTAACCTTAAAATGATGAGTCTTTGTGTCTAAAATAAGTCAGTGGCTCCAGAATTATTTAACTGACTCTAAAGTACAATTTTGAACATTTTCCAGGTGACGAAGCACCTGGAATGAGGGCTGGTGCTCTGGCACCACCTGCTGTCTATTATGTGTTAATCGCAGTGCAACACAGAGTCAAACAGGACAAATTGTGTTTGCGCCAACCTACAATCTCTGGTGACTTGATAGGAACACACAGCGCATGAAAACGCAAACTCCAGACAGAAAGCTGAAACAAGATTCAAATCCAGGATAAACTCTAATTTCTCCACATTTCTTGGAATCATGTCAGAACAAAAAGTAAAACCAACCAAAGCTTGCCATCAAAAGAGGACAACACATCAAGAATATCTCAGCTTCCATCTCTGTCCTCTGTCACTATCAGCAGCTTTGCTACTGCACACACACACACACACACACACACACACACACACACACACACACACAGAGGCGTGTGGTGTTGATCACAGACTGAGTTGGCTGATTTGCCAAATCGGCCACCATTCCTGGCTGCCAAACAAGTTCCAGCTGAGTCATCCACCTGACTCACTTTGTGAGAGGTTTTCCTGTTTGTGCGCGTCGTGTCTTGGTTCTCCTCCCATCAGCAGATGGAGTACTGCGCAGAACTTATAAATAACTGTTTTAGGACACAACCAGACCCAAATGGTGTCCTTATATGTGGTCCAGCCTGAAAAACAAGAGTTGTGCTTGTTGCTAAAAAAAAATCTTTGCATTTTGTCGCAAGACAATCAAATCAAACTGGAGTTTGTATCCATGAGCCCATGGGGCAGGTGGATGTTTTAATGCCCTCATTTTCATGCAGTTTTAATGTCAATGAGCAGTGAAACCGATGTGAGTACATACACCCATGTGAACAAAATAATTTGTATGGAACACAAAGAGGGCCAAAAAGACTTGAAATGTGAAGCAGCTTTCTTACACAAAGTATGCTGTTGAGATGTCAAGACAAGAAATCCCAAGACAATCTTCATTTCTCTTTGCATCCTTACTGCAGCTTAATGAGCTCCAGTGATCCTTTGAACTTTGAAGATTATTAACTCATACAAGCGCACAACTCAAAAGCTTTATTACCGTATCAAATCCCATTTCCTGTGTGAACTTTGGGCTTTGGCACCTTTCAGCTGAAGAGTCCCTCTGGTTCGCTTTCTGAGCAAACAAAATGAAAGAGCACCTGCTGAAAATACTGATAATAGGAGACGGAAACGTTGGGAAGTCTTCATTTGTGCATCGCTACGTCCATGGCCAGTTCAACAGAACATACAAAATGACAGTAGGAGGTACGCAAACTGGTTTTTAACTATTTTAGTTTTTTAGGCTCTTCATCTGGGCTGACTTGTGTGTTTAATGTTTAATATGGAAAATGTAACTTCTGAATTATTTTAATGTCAGATCTATGACTTCTTACAAAGCCCAGATTTGTTGAGTCTTCAGTCTTGGACTCCAACTATTTGTCCAATATTGATGTTTCACAAAGACAGGCTTAGTTTTGATTTTCTTTTTTCAAGGATTGTGTGTTGCTAGTTGCTTGTACTCAGTATCTAAGCAAGGAAAACAGCAGAGAGTCAAAAATTGAAGCTCTTGATAGTTCTTCTAAAATATGGATCTTCATCCAAAAAGCAAGGTTCTGAATAAAAGCAGAACAATTAAGCCTAGATTAGGAACAGAGCCATTGCTCCTCCATTTTAAAATGTGTCTGTTAAGGTGGTTTTAAAGGTTTGGAGCATCGGTTCCCAATCACATCTTTTTAGGAGAAAACTCAGGAAAGACCCAGAATTTATCAGACAAATCATTCAACCATTCTGGAAAACATCTGACTTTTTTCTCAGAATTATGACTTCAATCTTGTGAAAAAGAGAATTCCGAAATAAAATCCAGATTTTATTTTAGTTTTTCATCTTCTGACATCTTTTGTTCATTTTATTTTTATTTTTTTTTCCAGTGGCCCAAATCTTCAAGTCTGCTCTTCTTCAGAATTAAAGAAGAGCAGAATAATTTAATTTCCCTTTGGGATTATTTAATTCTCTTTTGGAATTAATTCTGTATTTCTGAACTGAATGTGAATATCTGGGTAAATTTAAACATAATAAAAATGGTTATGATGCTTTATGAATTTGAGTTGCTCTGTGTTCCTAATATGAGTTTTGTTTACTTCTGCAGTGGATTTCTCTGTTAAGATGCTGCACTGGTCAGACAAAGAAAAGGTCAGAGTTCAACTTTGGGATCTTGCAGGTATGAATCATTAGTTCAAAGTGAACTACAGGTCTATGCATAAGCATATGTTGATCACTGAAATGTGCATGAATGTTGTCTGCCCTTCCAGGCCAGGAACGTTTCATCTCCATGACCAGAATTTATTATAAAGGAGCGGTGGGCTGCGTTGTGATGTTTGATGTCACTGACTCATCAAGCTTCCTCACGTGTCGCCTGTGGAAACAAGACCTGGACAACAAGGCCATGCTGCCCAACGGAGGCTCCATCCCCTGCATCCTGCTGGCGAACAAGGTGAGTCGGTTTATCTAACCAATGCATGATGCACTATGAGAGCTTAGCGCTGCTCGGTTACCATCGTCCCCATCTTTTTATAAAGAGCCACATGAGAAATTTGAGATGTTTTCACACCTCGACTTGATTAGGGATCAAAATTTCCAGATTTGTTACATTTTCAGCTCATGCAATGCGCTTTAATGCTCTACAGTGTCAACGGTCCGAACTGATTGAAAAACGTATTCACCTCCTCGCCTGTGGGGGCGCTGCACCAAAAATCACTGCAGGAAATAACATGAAGACCAGTGCAAACTTCCTTCTCCACAAAATGTAAACAGAAATGCAGAAGTGTTAAATTTTAGCGATAGTAGGATTTCTTTTTTGTCTCTTGTAAAGAAAAAATTCTGTCAACCCAGAATGCCTTGCGCTGTGGTTAACTTCCTGTGTTTGGAGCGGTTTTCGGTTCACTTGCATCACTGCATTGGTTCACTTCAACCGAACCAAGATCAAGCTTGGTTCCAAATACCAATATAAAATACTTTCTAGACAAACAAGCTGGAGTTTGAGTGAAGCAGACTAAACAGGCTCGATGTGAAAGTACCCAGTCATGTTATTTCTAAATCCCAATATTAAATACATTCCAGTAAATTTGCTGCATAAGATTAGATACGAAGGACAGGAAAGCAAAAATAAATTATTGCAATAAGCAAAGGTGCAGGAATTGAACATACAGTTGAAAACAGATGTTTACAGTCACTCTATGAAAATATACCTGACTTGTTTCTCAGTGTTTGGTATTAAATCTGGTTGCACATTTCCTGTCTGGGTAATTCAAGATCCACCCATCTGTTTTCTATACCTGCTTATAATGGGAGGTACGTTTATGTTTTTTAAAAGAAGAAAGTTCAACGCCACTGATCTGCAGGAGGGTTCTGTATTTTCCTGAATGTCTTTTTTCCCTCCGGCTCTCTCTGCTCCCCCACAGAGCGACCTGCCTGAGTGGGCCGTCCCAGCAGACCGCATTGAGGCGTTCTGCAAGGCCAATGGCTTCTTCACATGGATGGCAACTTCAGTCAAAGACAACAAGAACATCGACGAGGCAATGAGGTAACGTAGCATGTCCAGAGCTAACATGGTACAACAACTACCAGTGCCATTTCATCCCTCCTTCTTTGTTTCCTTTCTTTTCATCCGTCCTTCGTTTTTGCCTTGTTCATTTCCAACATTGCTTCCTTCTCTCCTGTCTTCCTTTATTTTTTCTTTGTGTCCTTCCTTCCTTCCTTGTTTTCCTTCTTGGTCCTTTTATATCTCCTTTTTATCCTGCTCGTTTCTCTTCCTGTCGTTGTTTTGCATCTCTGCTGCGTTTCAGGAGTCTGGTGGAGGAGGTTCTGTCCATTCAGTCCAGTTTGGATCCACTGCCACCCAAAACCGAAGACGGTGTTCACCCAGAGCAGGAGCCGCAGCTCGGCAACAGTGCAGAGAAGAGTTGCTGCTGAGGCAACAAAGGTAGCTGTGAATCCTTTTTGTAATTCAAAGCACTTCATATTGACATGCTATATTTATTTTTTAAGTGTATATTGTCCTTGGAAGTATGACTGGGTCACAAATTACCTGCCAAATATTCACTTTATGTATCAACTCTGCAGCTGAGATGTTGAGAAGTGTATTTGGAAACTGCAGTCAACAAAAACCCAAATCCAACACTCATCTTAAAAATATACTTTTCACTTGTAACATTGCATTTAACTGAAAAAGATGAAGGAAATAAACTTGACTTTGGTCAAAGTTTGGTAACACTCAATTAAAGTTAAACTAAAGTTGACTTTAATGTTGACTTAACTTTTTTTAAGTAAGGTTATCTTGTCAAATTGGTGTAATTGTAGTTTGTACTTGAGTGCTTTTAATGAGTTTCTTTTACAAATTAAAATAATCCTATTTTCAGGTTATCACGGATCAAATAGCAGAAGTAAAAGGAGCAGAGGAAGAGGCTGTGAATAAATTTCGTTGGGAAGGAAGGCCTGCAGGTGTGGATGAGCTGCAGATGAAAAGTGCTTCTCCTCCGACACGCTGACTCATTCAGACGCATGAGCCTGAAAGAGCACACGCTAAAACCAGCCGTGTGCGTGGATCCGCTCTGCTTTCCAGTAAGACGAATGATGAGTGGGTGTTGTTGGGTGTTTGACAGTGTGAATCACACAGGCACATGGATACGCATGTGCCTCAGAGAAGCCTTGCAATGCCAGATTTTTATTTTTTTATTTTGCAGAGAAAGTGTTCATGCATATCATGCAGAGGAAAAAAGAGGCTTTTATTAAGATTAGAATCCCCTAGAAATAGAAAATTATATCTGGATGGTGCATACATTTACTGATTACTACATTTATTGTATCCAAGATTAATTTCAGGACCAAACCAGTTTGAACTCTGACTTGAACGCCTCACGGTTCTCCTGAAGGACATGAAGGTTAAACCTTCACATTTTAACCTTGTCATATTATATTATCTCTTCATGTATTGACCAACATATTTGATGTATATTCATCATTTTGATGATGGCACTCGACAAAATAGAGTTTTCGTAGTTGTTTTTATTTTTGTGTTTTTATAATGTAAAGCATTTTGAACTAGTTTGCCACTGAAATGTGCATTACAAATAAACTTGACTCACTGAGGAACAGCTGAGGGGCAGAAACTGCAGACAGTCACATTAAAGCCGAGGCTGTCATGGTTGATAGCATCCAATTTCACAAACTTGGAAAATATGAACATCGTCCATCCCACACCTGATTAATCCATCTAGTGTTGACAGTAAAAAGAAGAAAATGATACGTTTTTGCTTTAGGATGATATGGCTTTGTATCAAAAAGTGATCAACAGCAGGATGATAGGTGGAAAAGACAAAAACAACAGAAAGTGTATTTTTTGTATTGCTTTATTATTTTTTATTATAATAAAGCAAGATGGTCTGATGAGTTTATTATTATGGGATTTTAACTGTTCTTATTTAATGGAAATTTATTCAACTTTAGTGCAATATCAACTTTAGTGTTGTGCACATTTTTAATGGAAATGCAGCTAATGGTTGATAAAATTTGGAATAAAATTTGTATATTTGCTCTTTCAGAGAGAATATTCAATAAAATTTATTTATTTGCGCAACAGACAAAAGTAAAATCAAGAAAGAAAAAAAAAGAAAAGTTAAAACAAATTAACTTTGTTTTAACCTAAGTGATATGCAATTTTTTTATTATCTGTTCAAAAAGGAGCAGGTAGAAGACACAAGATATTATAATGTCCTGCCCCTTTCATATTTATCAACTTATAATGAATTAAATGTCAAAAGGCCAACAAGACTTAAGTTATTTCCACCTCATATGATATTTAAATCTCACATTCTCACATTCGTACAATTATTTAAACACTTTTTATATCATCAACAGCATTTATGGACTTTTTTGAACATATTTCCCATACGCTCCTTTTTAAACAGTTTTTTGAGCTGGTTAAAAAGGAGCTAATTGGGAAATATGAACTATGCATGGGTTTGATTTAGGTTCAGAAATATATGAATTGATCAGTCAAATCCTATAGAAATATTCAGATTCACAAATTTAAAACATAATTCAGTCAAGTTCAGTTTATGATGGCGACTGGTAAAGAAAAGTTTTCTATCTGATGTAGCAGGTTACATTAAGTCCTGTTCTGAGGCATTGACATGTTCACTGGTGATCCAGGAAACTCCAGGTAATCCTCGGAGTTTTGTCTTTTTTTTGAGAAATCCTGATAAAAAACTGTAATGTAAATATTTTTGCATTACAGTTTTTAAGTCAAATTTTTAAAAACTGTAATGCAAAAATCATTACAGTTTTTAAGTCAAATTGTTTGGTATGAAAGAGTTACTAACATCAGTTTAATGTTGGATTTGAAGAATAAATGGATGTAATCCTGAAAACCATGGGTTGTGACGCTGGTTGGTGAATTCTCTTAGCACAGCAGGTGCGGCAGTCGCCACCTCGCGCTGATGAAGAAACCCACGTAAGCTGCAACCTGACATGCAGGGCTCTGGCCAGGGTTATTTGTGGTCTGGCTGCGCAGCGCCTCTCGGTGTGTTGTCCTTTTATTGCCTCAGGCTGCCGTCAGAATGAGAACCCAGGAAATGTTTCCCATCAAGATGCAAAAAGAAACATTACTGCTGCATCATTCATTCATTGTTGATTCACATCTGCATGCAAACACATAAGCAAACTTACAGAATAAACTGCACTTAGTTGTTTTTTTTTTCATGTTTTTTGAATAAAATTGAATAAAAGCATTAAAATTTCCCACCTTTTGGATTTTGCTTTTTTATTATCACTTCAAACAGACATAAGTTCTAGTAGATACAAGATCTTTTGATTTTCTGCCCCTCTCGTACTTTGGAGTTGTATTGTAATTTTTTTTACAGATAATCACAAAAATAAAACATAGTGCTTAAAACATTAAATTAAAACAAAAAAAAGATCATTAGAAGCCTCACCATCCCAACACACACTGCTGTCAGCTCAGATTAAAGCTGATAGAAAAAAATATATATATATCAAAATTGCCTGCAAAAAATGACATGCATTTCAGTTGTTATATGAAAAAAAAATCCAATAGTCTGTCACATTCATCAGTTTCAAAACAAATGATCTGCTAATCTTTAAATAAATATTTAAACCCATATATTTTACAGCTAGACAGAATTGCAGAAAATCTGATGAGATACAGCCTTTCAGGAAAGATCATGAAGGCTGGGAGAGAAGCTGATATGAGGGAACAAATTTATACTGAATGGATGCAGATGAATTATTAGGCTGAGTTATGACCTGTGACCCCACAGCGGGTGGAAGAAAATATTAGCTGCAGTAAGATATGAGAGCATTCCTGGAAAAGAATTTTCTGAGCCCGAAGCGCTGACATCAGCACAATGCATGACCCTGAGACAAGACGTCAGAAGGGCAGGAGCGCCTGGTGGGTCAACCAGTGACCCACCAGGAAACACAACAAAACCACCAACTGAACCAGAGTTCATGACAGGCGCAGACACAAACATACGACTGAGACTTCTGATTAAAAAAGATGGTAAATAAAGTTCTGTTTCTTTTTTTCTTCATTCTGATTTATTATCTCTCTTCCTGTGTCAGTACCACAGCTATCGCAGCTGATTTGCTGCATCATATCTTGGTAAATATTCACGCTGTTTGACAGGGATGCGCACATGAGATGACACCGTATCTAATCAAAGTGTCGTAAGCAGTGACTGTTTGTGTTAGCGCTCCTCACCAGACCATCTGCTGACTGGCAGAGACAGAAAGCAAGAAGCAGGGAGAGCAAACAGAATGCAGAAGCAAAGAGGAAAAAGAACTGGACCGGGCCCAGCAGACAGGAATAAACTGGCCAGGCTGCACTTCAGAAGCTAATTAAAACGGCCTCATTAGGCTTTTACTGCAATGTACCAACAAAAGAACACGTCATATCAATTTTATTTTTACTTATTACTTTTAGAAGCCAGTTTTCTATTCATTTGTGCATGTGGGACGTATAATGAGCTTTGTGACCAAGACTAGAAAAACTATGGAAAAGAAGAAGTCGTGAACAGTGAAACTCTCCACATAACTCACTGTCAGTATGTTTCTATGATTTGGTGTGAATAACTAGAAGCTTATAGAGCCAGGATGTTCAAAGTAAGGCCTGGGGACCATTTGCAGCCCCTAGACTGACTTTTTGTGGCCACAATTCAGGACTAAATTAGTAAATTAGGACAAAACTAGAACTTTTAAATCAAAATCCACTAAAAATTTAGATTTTTAGTAGTGATCAACTTTTCCAAGCTTTCTTGTTTAGAACTACACCGGCTTATTAACATATACTATAAAGTACATGTTGGTGCACCTTAATCTATTTTTAATCAAATTTGACTGAATAGAGCAAGTGTTTTCAAATGAAAACTGACCTAGAGCCTGTTTTTATTACTGAGAGTAGAAGAAATATAAATTCAGTTTTCTTCAAATCGAGCCCAAAATATTGAGCTATCTGGAGGCTTTTTTTTAACAAGGAAAAATCATTTGAGGTTTTGGATCTATGACCAAGTTCCCACAAAAAAAAAAAAAAATCATGTTTTGTTTAATTAGAATGGTTTATACTTAGTTTGTAAGTGAATAAAAAAAATCACAAAATTTTGGTTGATTTTAGATTTTAAAGATAAAATTATTTTTGACCCACTTGACAAAAGGTTTGGACAACTTTGAAAACTGTTCAAACACAGTTTCCAATTGCTTCTTCCTGTCTTTTAATAATATTTTAGTTATATTTTATATTACTTTCTTCATTTATTTCAAATATAACGAAGGTCACGAAGCCCAAACACTTTATTGTAGTTTCCGTACTTTATTGGCTCCCATGTGGAAGTCCAGATTTTAGTCAGCCTTTTAATATTATCTTTGGAGTGATGGCTTCTTTGTCTGTGAGTCCAGCAAAAATAACTCTCTTACCAATTTCAGGAAAGTGTCTCCGCAAAGTTTTCTTTTTGTTTTTATTATCAACTACAAAGAAAAAAAATGTATGCAGTTTTTTTATTTTATAGAATCTGTTTAAAAATATTAAAATTGGTGTTACTATTATAAGCTTCATCACAGAATCTCCATGTACATATTTAATTTTTCTAATCAACATACACAGTAATTCGGCTCCCATAGTGAAGTATTTTTGTCCTTAATACACTTAAGTAAATGGGTTTACTTAAGTGTACATATATTTTTATATTATTAGAATATTTTTTCTTTCAGCGTCAGTGCGTACACAACCATATTTACATGAATATCCCAATTAAACGAGTCAACCATTCACAACTACAGGGTGAAGGAACTTCCGCCATTCCATGCCTCTTAAACGTGACCAACATCACACACGTGACAACATACCGACCAATGGGATTGTCCGCCTCTGAAACACGGCTGAGTTCACGTTTGGTTGGGCTGGTGTTGCCTTTACTGGCATGGGAATTATTAGTTGTTTTGAATGAGTCGCAGATATTAATGCTCAAGAAACTAAAAACAGACGGTCAGATGGACATAAAAAAAGATTTTGCTTAATTAGTAGTGTTTCTTTATATTTGTTCTGAAAATAAGAGCTGTAATCGACAGAATAATGATATGTTTTACAAAGTTGCTTAACATCTATAAGCTAAAGTATGTACAAAGACTTTATTATTCAATATTGAATGAATAAGATTTCGTGTTTGTTCTTATTTTCTATTCTTGAACCTGGTGTGTTGAGTGGTCAAGATTAGTAAAAACATTTGTTTCCGTAAAACCTCTTGGACTGTGAATGCAACATGAAGCCGGCGCACATATGGCTCCGAACATGCGCAGTGGCTTCATCTGTTATGAAACGCGGTACAGTAGTAGGGCACGCAGGGATTCTCAGACAGAGGCTACTGGCACCAACCCGCTCCACATCGCTGACCCGCTCTCCTCCAGGACCGAAGAAATGCTTCTTTCTCTGGGCCTGAGATAAACGTCTCTCCCGGGGAGCCAGCTCACGGTAAAGCGAGGCTTCATTCGCGCCTTGTGTGTTTAATTTCAACGTAAAACGGTGGAAACAGGTTACATAAGCTCCGCTCGGGTGACCCGGTTTTGGTCTTTCCTCGCAGACAAGGAAACTTCCTCCTGCCGAAATTTACATCTGTCTTCAACTACTTGAGGCCAAAATGAGAAATTAAGAGTTTATATATGCTTGACATGATATAAATGTGGACTTTGAGTCCGTGTGAGGAGCTGTGCTGCATTTCAGGCCCATTCAGACAGTCGATGTGACCTAATTTCCATCTGCAGGAGTCGCAGTCGCTGACCTGATAAACTTGACTTTTATAGAATTTATCAGAAGAAAATTACAATTTCAATTCATTATAACCAAACTATTACAATATAATGTACTTTACAGGGTATTAATGCAATATCTTTTGATATAAATAATCCCTAATGTATATATAGAGAGATAATGAAATGTGAATATTTTATTAAATTACACATTTATTTATTTCACTTATCAATTTGCAGTCATTCTTGTGTTATTATTATTTGTTATGGTTTATTAAACTTAGTAAAGTGTTGGCTATTAAGGTGCTCCATTGTCTTGTTACTCTAAATTGTAACATAATTGATTTATATTTTATTGAATCTGTATTCATCTGAACTGTATTTGAGTAATATAGATTGAAAAGAACAAAGTTGCATTTAATTTGATTTGAATCAGAGTTTAATTGTGTTGCACTGAAATAAATTAGACAAAATTGGATGTGAACATTGAATTGTGTCCAAAATAAATCTAATTGGATATATTTTGAGTGCAAAACTATGATTTATTATTGGATTTTGGCCGCATTTGATTGATCTGGAATAAGTTCGATTGATAAATTAGATCTGTGTTGTATTGAATTCAATGGAGTTGGTGTGAGGAGAACAAGTTGATTTGAAGTGAATTTAATTGAATTCCCATCCATTTTACGGCTGTTTTATCTCTTTATTTATTTCTTTTTTGTCAGAAGTGTGATTAATTTGGAGCGAATTGAATTGAGGCTGTTATCCGGCCACCTGTTGCCGCCGCCTGGCTGTGTGGATCCTCACAGAACATTCTTTTACACTCATTCTCCATGTTTTCCTCTCGTAACATAATAACACATCAATCCTCCATCACCTACTCACTGGAAATGACTGAATGTGTGGTAGAAGCTAAAGCATGTTTATTAGTTGTGATTGTTGGTGTATGAATAATAAATGAAAAGGTAAGCCCAGGGTTTCATTGGGGGGAATGTCATGTAAATGTCTCGGTCTAAAGTTTTTCACCTGAAACTTTCTGAACTAAATTCGGTCGTTTCTATAATTTTGGAGTTTGTACTTTAACAGTCGGCGTTAACGTAAATAAGAGTATAAGTTTTTATACTTGTTTTTAGTGACAAGATGGGAGATTTTATAAAAAAAAAGATAATGGATTAATTATTGGATTAAATGCATTAAAAGCATAGAGTGTGAGAACTAGTTTCAACACCAAATACACCTTAACGTGCCTTAAAACGCACAGTGGAAACCATCTTAAGCTGACATGTATGGTTTTCCATATCGCCACGGGTTATAACCAATCAGGGACAAGAAAAATTAATGAGGCTCCTGGTGATTGGTCGAATAATTTAGACACAGGACAAACTGCCTTAGAGGCAATTTAGAATATTTTATTACCCAAAGTCATGTTGTAGGAAGCAGGAGCGCCCAGAGAAAACACATTTATGCATCCGGAGATAATCTACACTCTATGCAGGCTGAGATTTGAACCCACAACTTTTTTGTGTAGCTTAAAAATGGTTCCCATTGTGAAAAAAATAAACAGTCAGTAAATTACTAAACTATATTTATTTTAAAAATTAACATCATAATGTGTTAATAGCTTAAAATAGTGTTATTTTTGCTACCATAACATGAGAATCTAGTTCTGTAAGTCCATTAAACGCAGCAGTTATTTTTGGCTCCTGCTTGAGCAAAACGAACACCCACATCTCAACGTACGAGGAGCATATGGTTCTTCTTCAAGCTGGCTAGCTGGAAGAATTTTTTTATTCTTCCATTCAGAAAACAAGCCGGTGAAAGAGGCTGCAGGCCAAGCGGCAGCTTGCTCTGCAGCGGATGAGTCTCTTCTAATTAGCAGCCGTTCATCTGCTCATCTTCCTTCAGCTGTTCAGTTCAGCTTCCGGTTTCCACAGTGGAGTCTCAGGCGTCGAACCCTTTGGTCAGATGGGAAAAATAACAGCTTGAGTTCTGACTGTTCAGAGATGCATTGAAAACAGGCGGAGGTGACCCATCTTTGTGTTTGTATCAAAGCCAGCTGAGTGAATAAACGGCTTTTCCTACGCCTGCCGACCTGCACCAACAGGATTTTAGGAGAATATTTTGGATCTGCAGCCAAGTTGGAGTTCTTATTTTAGTAACTTATCTTGCACCTAACTAAGCCTGTCATAATAACTTTCCTGGATGATAAATTGTGCCAGGCCTTATTGTGATAACAATAATGTCATTTTGAGATCATTTTCAAGTTATGTACAGGGAATGGCAAAATCATGCAAGAACACATTCTCAAACTTTAAATCCAAATTAACATTTAATATTGGAACTGGAAGACATTTTAAATTTGCAAAATGAGTAAACAAAACAGAAATGGCAAATAAAATGAATTCTTAAGTCTCTGTAAACAGAATCATCCTTCAAATAAAGGACTAGTTGAAATCAAAGACTTTTGATAGAAAAAAGATAAATTGTGCTAATAGAAATGATTAAGTTTGTTTTAATTTATAATTCTATTAATTAATATATTGCTTATTGTGAAAGGCCTACTTCCACTTTTGTTTTCTGGACAAATAATTTCCCAAATTTCCAACCAATCAGAAGCAGAACTGATGATGAAAAGAGGTTTTCTGCGGTTCCTGCAGAACTTCAAGGGGTCCTGGACGTTTTCTGGGACAGAGGCGACTTCTTCTGGCTTTGTGTGCAGCTGCAGCTCTCACACAAGAAAACTGATGTTTATGCTGCAGTTTGAACTCAGTATCACGAGACCTGGTTGAAAGCTGCATTCAAATCCAGATTGTTTGCCCTGAAAGCACTTTGCTCCTGATGTTTGATTATTTAGTATTTTCTATTCGTCCTTTGCAGAACGCGATGGCCCCAAATTCCATCCACTGGTTCCGTAAGGGACTGCGCCTCCACGACAATCCTGCGCTCCGGGAGGCGGTGCGGGGGGCTGGCACCGTGCGCTGCGTTTACTTCCTGGACCCGTGGTTCGCAGGCTCGTCTAACGTCGGGGTCAACAGGTGGAGGTAAGACGATTTGTCTGAGTTTGGCTCCAAACTATTCCCTCTGCAGCTCTTCACTGTGGAATAAAGAAAAGATCAACTGCTAATATTTTTATTTCTGCTTTTAAATGTTAGGAAATGGAAGTGAAGCACCATTAACTCTGAATGTTTTCTGCTGGAAAATACATGTGAATTTCTAAAATGTAGCCTAAAATGTATTATTGTTAGAAGTATAATTTCTTCATATTTAGGAAAACAGATCAAGTTTTCCTTCCATTGCTAACTCATGATTGGTGTAAATGAGGAAATTGATCCAGTTAAATCAAAGTTCAGGCAGTTATGGAAGTTAGAAACAATAATTTCAGTTTTGTTTTGTACAGTCAAGAGAAACAACCGTCCCTCTTGACTCTTTGGAATCACCTGCTGGGTTCAGAAATGTCTGAACATTTTCTTCAGAATTTTCTTCAAATCAGAAACAGAAATAAAATGGTACCTGTTGATTTGCAGTCAGAGCATTATCAACACTTTCTAAGTTTTATTGTTTTGGTTGATTGAACAGAGATCACAGCTTCACTCTCAGTCTGGTGTAAAATTATTGTTCTTATTGCTTCTCTTAGCTGGAACTTTGAGATGATCTTTGCTCTGACTGGGAGTAAAAACAGAGACTGATACTTTAATCCGAGAACCATAAGCTGGAGGACTTTCCTCCAGGCAGCTGCAATTCTGCACCCTGCAGCATGATGTCAGCATTTCTCTGCTTTTAAAGCTTTATTTCACTTATTTCCAGATATATGAAACAAATCTGTATTTACTGAAATTAATACTTGAGATCTGTACTTGCTTTTAGTGCTTTAGGTCTGGTGGATTTTTTTTAAAGAATATATAAACATGTCAGAACAGATTTTTCTAGTTTCATTAAATTTTTATTTGCTAAAAACCCAAAATAATAGTCAAAGTTAAGAGTTGTGAGCTGGAGGAGAGCACTCAGTGGTTCCACAGTCACAAGGTGCCCTTTGGTTTAAATCTGCTTTCCCATAATCCCCGTGGTCAGCCTGCAGGCGGACATGAGGCTCAGTGTCTGGCTGAGAAGAGCGTCTAGCTTTCAGGGTCGGTGGAAACCCGCCTCAGTCCAGTTAAAGCTGCGTCTCTTTGGGCCGAGTTCAGGGGAAGCGTGTTGGTGCTGAGGCGGTGGTCCCTGGCCTGCTTTGCTGTGTTTCATGTCTGGTTTTAGCTCATTACAGAAACAATCAATGCTTTTGACTCGCCGCTCGTCTGGGTCTAAAAATGCTCAAGTGCCGCCGGCAGTTCCTGCAGGAAACGCCGGATTTCAATACCACTTAAGATTCAAATGCACTTATTATCGGTTTCAACTCCAGTAATTATGAAGAAATCAGCAGATACATTTTAATACTATTAACAGCATAACATGTTTATCTGGATCAGTCCCTGATTTGAAAAAAACTCCAGGTCAGGTATTAGTGACAGTGTTTCTGATCCATGAGGGCGGATCTATTCAGTCTAATTCTTTACTTTTATTATTTATTTTACATTATATTTATAATAATTAATTGCACTTTCTGAACCATTTAAAAGAAGGTCTGTTGCTGTTTATTTTGACATGTTTTTGCCAGTTTATTAAACTCACTGAGCAAATTAAAGTTGGGTTGTTTTTGTGCATCTAAGAGGGCAGTACTGGTGCACAGGTGTCAAATACATTAGTATTTCAGAACGTTTCTTGAAACTAATAACCATTTACAGCCAGGTCAGCTGTTTTTCTGTGCCAGATCGGTATCGGCTGATTCTAAACCTCAGATATTGGTATCAGAAGTGGAAAAAGTGGATCAGTGCATCCCTAATTTTGTCCCAGTGGAAGCAGTAGAGAACAGATCTTTCTGGACACGTGTTTTAGACTCAGAGCAGCTTTAAAAGTAAGTACACCCTCTGAAACGTGCACAGCTGCCCTGAAACCTGGCAAACCGTCATCCAATTAGCGCTGGTGATTTTATTTCAATGCTCTTTAACTCTGTCTCCAGATGGAGAGTTAAAAATGGGACCAGCATTTATTTAGTCACATTATTTTTGAATGAAAACATCTTATTTTATGTCTTCCTCATGAAATCAGACATCTTTGAGGCTTTCCTGATAACTCCGCTGATATTTGTACATGCTTATGCGACAGCTACTCAAATGTTGCACTGTTCTGAAAACAAAACTCATGCACATAACAGGAAACTGATCTGCAGGGTCATAATAGACAGGTGGAGGTTTTACCCTGTATTATTTCTCTGAAGATATCTATTATTCTCACATAAGGACTGTTAGTTCTATACCTGAAGTGTAAATAATTAGAAGTTTTTCCAATAAAAGGAGAAATGTAGGTGAAATGTTTGAAGGTAATGTAGGCCAGTGTGTCAGTGCAGGAAGCGGTTATGTGATCATGACCTACTTGTGGCGAGATCTTCCTGTGTGGCCCGTTACCCAATCGGCATTGCTTGAGGTGGAGGCGCAGATAAAAGCAGCTACGGCTCAGTGAAATAACGCTAGCACAAAGAAAAACGTGTCACCATTCATCATTGGCAGGAATACGGCGCTGCGTTCTTGGGTTAAAGAGCAACAGGTCGTCTTCGTGCATCAGGTTCATCCAGGGAGCCAGAATCTCAAGTTTAGATAAAATACCTTCACGTTTCTTTCCGTTACAAATGTATCCCCTTTTTTGTGTTATTTAAATTTTTCAAATAATAGTTTTGCATATTAAAATGAAAAATCTACCAAACCAGTTTGGCCTTTTGTGCCAAGCTTGTCTAGTCATGTTTATTTGTGTAACACATTTCAGCAAAAAGCAGGTCAAAGTGCCTTAGATCAGAAAGACGTCATAAACTCACCAAATTATGAAGCAACCAATAAATACTACATTGTATTGTTGGGTGGATCATTTCTACGGGAGTGGATGTTGTACTGTCTTAAAAAAACAAGGTTTTCTTTTTTATAATCAGGTTTTCTTTGCTTAAATCTCTTTACAATTATTGAAAAAAAAGAACAAAATTTAGATTAATTCTTGTTTATTTGAAATATGACCATTATAGGGCCTCACTTTCACAACCACTGAACCTCTTTCTACTTTATCTAAATAAATGTTTTTTTTCATGTCTTAATTTCAATGTTGACTATTTTAAAACAACTTTAGTTGTTTCAAAGTTGCTTTATACTAAACTTTTCTTTGTTTCTGTTAGTTTAAATGTTTGTTTTTTTTAAATAAAAGATTTAAGTGATTACAGTGAAATCACGTTAGAAAACCTGAAACCAAAATCTTCCAGCTCAGTCGGCTCGCTCTGAAACACCCAGCAGTGTGTGTGTGTGTATGTGTGCGTGTGTGTGTGTGTGGGTGTGTGTGTATGCGTGTGAATGAGGCTACTAGGCTAAAAGATTGTGTTATGATGCAGCTGAAGTTGCGTGTGTGTGACCGCTGCACCAGATGTAGGCCATCTGGAAACAAAACCGCACATTAAAAACGCAGAAAGGCCGTTAAACAGGGAAGCTCAGTTGAATGCTTCCCAGCGTCAACATTAACGGCGTTTATTTATGCAGTCATGCAAAAACTCTTACAAACCAGGCTGACACAGATCCATCCCTGTAATTCATGAATACATATCGGCTCACAATAACTGATTTTTAAAAAAGCAAAATATATTATGAATATATTAAGATTTTCCTTCATAATATGTTTTTTGTAGAATGAGATCAGGCTTTGCTATTACATACAGTATGTATGTAACGTAGATGCTGAAAGCTGCTTCTCATGTTTGGTTCTGGGATGCAGATCAGACCAGAAGCAGAAGACCTGCGAGATCTGGAAGGTTGATGCAACAACAGCAGATCTTTATAAACTCTTGAGTTCGGTATTGTAATTTTTTGCGTGCTTGTTTGCTTTGGTGCAGCCATAAAACCATTTGCGTCATCGCTCTGATGCAGACAGCGAGTATCCTGTCCTAAATAGCAGAGGTTTCTAGGTTAGTGTCAGAGCAAGGTTTTACTTTTTCACATCACTTTTTGGTCTAAATTATAAAACCGAAAACTCTTGTACATGAATACATAATATCGGTTTTATTGGGGTAGATTCTCAACTTGAATCACCATTTTTGAAAGTCTTGTCTGCTGCCCTAAATGGAGAGCAGACTGCCTGCCTGACGGCTCATGCACAGGCTGGCACGTGCCTTAATGTGTGGCGACTTTGTCTCGCAGCTCTGTCTGTCTGCGTGAGGATTGGGAACAAACGGAGCTTTAGCTGAGAGCTGCGGCTGCTCAGGTTCAGTGATTAGGCCAGGAGTTGGACAGGAAGCAGCAAAAGTTCGCTGAACGCCATGCAACAGCTAACAATATTTTAAACACATTTTAACCAACAAAGCTTGTTTCTCTCTCTGACCTTTAACCTTTTAGTGGCTGAGATGCCAAAGGAAGTTGGTAAAATGTGTATCAATTTAAGCTACATTTTCAAATTCAGCAGGCTTATTTCAAATATCGTTCATCCCTGTATTTATAATTTAAACAAATTATTTGCAGCAATATTTTTTTCTTTTCAGTCAATTCTCCTGCATCAAACTTAACAAATATTTTTGCAATCTTTAGCTGAGAATTAGAAATGTTATTGAACCTGTAAGTCAGATTTATTTATTTATACTTAGTTTGTTTTTTTGGTTTTCTTTTTGCAAATTTTGCACATAAAACCTGATTTGATTGTTTTGCAAATTTGTAGAGACTCTATTTGTTCGGAGTTGAAACTTTAGAGGTTTTAGAAATTACAGGTATATAAAGCTTCTTTGAATATGTCTGATTTATAACAATGTTCAGTAATTATGTGTTGGTTCAGTCTGATGCCTCTTGCTTCAATGTTTACTATGTGGTGAAAATGTAAGTAAAAAGAACCAATTTTTAAAAATAACTTAGAACTGATTAGCAATCTCCAGATTGATCAAATAAATCTGTTCTTATTTTGTTTCATTTCTGATACAGAAATAAGATTGCAGTGAGACAAATATAGTTTTACTAGCTGGTAAATGGAGAAGAAAACTCCACACAGAAAAGTTCTGACTGAGATTCAAAGTGGTTTTATCTTCTAAGAAATCCCAGATCTGAAAAAACACCTGTGGCCTAAAAAGCCTCTTCTTACCCAACCAACATTTCCGACTTTGCTCAGACAATTTAATCAAACAGCAGCAGCTATTTTCTGTTGGAGAGTGGTGAATTATATTTGCAGCTGGGGTTTTTTTTGGTTTCTTTCAGCCTTCAGAGCTGCAGCTCACGTTGTCCTTCGTGTCCAGCTGTTAGCCGTCGCTCCGCTCAGCTCAAGACGCTTTGCGGCATCCGTGACTTCTCACACACAGTTCCTGACGCGTAGCTGACGTCGGCGCGCGTCACAGTCAGCCTTCAGCAGCCAGACTCTGGTGCCTTCAGCACATGTTGAAGCTGCCGGGCCTTCGGAGATAAACGCTGAAGCTCCTTTCTCCGTTTTCTTCTTCCTTTTTTGTATCATTAACTGCTCTAAAACTTAGTCCTCCAAAAGTTTCAGTTTGCTCCTTATTTTTTTTATTCTTTGCATCCAAAGCGATGAAGTTTCTTCTTCTCTTTGAAAAAGATGTGGTTCAACTGTTGATGTGATTTGCACAAATTAGTGCATTTCTACTTTATTGTGAAAACAGAAAAGACTAAATACAAGTAGAGGTCTGAGATGATGAACACAGTTAGTTTCCTGCTCACTTGTTTGTTTTAAATCTGCATTTTAGGGTCCAAATGATCCAGAGTTACTGTAACTATGTCAACAAACCCAAAATATGTGCTGCACAGGGCAAAAGACGAGCTGAATTTATCAGACTATAAAGAGCTGGGGACGTTTGTACACTAACTATTTAAAATATGATTTTAAAGCAGTTGATTATAACCAAATGCTGTAAATGCAACTCAAAGAAATGACAAAATGAAGATGTTGGACTGAAAAGACTGTAGTTTTGTTTCCACATTGATACTTTTCTTCCTTCTTTTTGTCTAATCTGGGTTATTTTGCCATCTGGAGAATATTTACAACCCAGTAATTAAGTGTCTAATTAGGAGTCGGCCTTTACAATATCGTTTATCATTTATTGTGATACATTTTTTATCATAAGAATTTTGATTTTTTTGTGCTCCTGCTAAATTCCAATGAATGTGTTTTAAAATCTGCCTTTATTGTTGGGATTACTTGTTCTACTTTCTCCACTGTTTATGAGAGCATCAATAAATATTAATACATTGTAAAATGCAGTTTAGTGACAAAATCACTGTTTATGTGACTGGCGTTTTGCAAATGTGTTAAGGTCTGTTAATGAAATGTTTTTCCTCTCCAGGTTTCTGCTCCAGTGTTTGGAGGATTTGGACGCAAGTCTCCGAAAACTCAACTCCCGCCTTTTTGTGATCCGGGGCCAACCAGCAAACGTTTTCCCGCGCCTCTTCAAGGTCGGCACAGAGAGGCAAACGCCGCCAACACAGGGGTGTCCAAACGTTTTGTCACATGTGCCATAGTTGTTGAGACAAAATTAGCTGCAGGTCAAAAATAAAAAAACATTTTTGACCTGCAAATTGTGTGGGCCATTGTAGATGTAAAGTAATTGTAAAAAATCAATTTCTGCCAGACAAACTCAGAAACTGAGATTCAGCAAAACAGTTTTCTACAAAGAAAATGTCAAATTTTTATTTTTGGAGTTTTTCTGAATTTCAAAAGTCAAATATTTAAAATTTTTGAAACTCATAAATTTCCAAGTTTTTTTGTAGAACATTTTTGAGATTATTCTCAAAATGTCAGAGTTTGTTGGTGAAGATGTACCATATTTTCCCCACGCTTTGAACAAGGCGGCTTACAGCCCAGTGCTGCTTTTCTGTGGATTTTTCTTCAACCAGCAGGGGGCTCTTCAGCAGGAAGTGAATCATTGGAAGTCAAATTTGGATTTCATCTTGATTTTAGATTGGTTATAAAAAGACAAACAGTGTTGTACTTTACATTTCATATTGTAAGAACATTAGAAATTAAAACACTTTGCATCAACGGGCCAAATTTGGATCAGCCCAAGCGCCATTAATGGCCCTCGGGCCACACTTTGGACACCCCTGCTCTGACACATTCTTGCCTGTAAACCCACAGTCTGTGTTCTGGTTTTGGTTTCTCTAACACACACACACAGAGTTTGTTGACATGATTTTCTGTCATTTGTGATCTCTGCGGCTCAGGAATGGAAGATTTCCCGGCTGACCTTTGAGTACGACTCGGAGCCGTTTGGGAAGGAGCGGGACGCCGCCATCAAGAAGCTGGCCATGGAGGCGGGGGTGGAGGTCATCGTCAAGATATCACACACACTCTACGACCTGGACAAGTGAGACCTCGCTAAGAAAATGAGTCATTTTATAATAAAACCTCAGCCTTTCAGGTTATTTATTTATCTGTAATGAAACATTAAAATCCTGAAGTGGCTTAATATCAAGTGTTCAAATTTAGTCATATTAAAAATGTTGAACATCTGATAAAGGCCTGTATTTTTATTTTATTTTTTTAAACATATTCAGATTTAATATTTAGTTTAATAGTGGAAAACAATATAAACCAATAAAATTAAAATACTGAAACTGTGGTGCAGAAATTCTCCATACATATGAGTAAATGCATGTATGTTAATCCTACTTAAGATGGGATTAAAATATTTTAAGCAATCTCAAATATTACAATATTTCTAAGAAAAGCCCAAGTCTTCTTAGATTTTGAAAGAAGCTGTTCTACCAATATCCATGAATCAGTTTGTGTGAAAAATATGAAATAATCTCTTAAATTAATTTAGTTTGAACCAGATCTTTGCTTTGCAACATGGAAAAAAAATCTAAAACATCCTGAAAAAATCCAACAAGAAACAGATAAAAACGGAAAATCATTGGCCTAGTCAAATCCCAGGTGTTGATCTCAATAAGATGCGATGGAACGACTTGAAACATTCTGAACGGGCAAGAAACACAATCCTATTGATTTCTTTTGCTTAATGGATAAAGAAATGTTTATTTTTGTTTTTAAAATGCAATAAAATTTCTGTATTTTTAAATAAATGAAGTTAAATATTTTAACAGAACTTCTTAAAGCAGGTTTCACAACTTCTGTGCCATAACTAGCATGTTTGTTTTTCTCCATTTCCCCGTCTGAAGGATCATCGAGCTGAACGGCGGACAGCCTCCTCTCACCTACAAGCGTTTCCAGACGCTGATAAGCCGGCTGGATCCGCCCGAGATGCCGGTGGAGACGCTGTCCGACGCGCTGATGGCCGGCTGCGTCACGCCCGTCTCCGAGGACCACGGGGAAAAGTACGGCGTCCCGTCGCTGGAGGAGTTGGGTGAGGAAACAAACGACCAAAGCATATCATCCTCCTCATTCATTTTCAGTTCCATAAAAGAAAATATTTCAGGAAACCCAAATCTGCTTTTATTGAAACGGAAAGCAGTTTTAAAGAGACAGTGACCCAAGTCTGGTTCTTACTGCTGACAATCAACAGAATGCTTTTATTTTTTCATCTGGGCCCAAAACAATTTGTAAAGCTCATTTCTGTCTTTAAGAGCATTTTTTTAAAATATATATGTTTTAGCTCTGGATCTACATTGATTTTACTTCATTTCGTTACTTATTTAATTAGAATTATTTATTATTGTTGAGCTGCAGAAACTGTAATTTTGTTGTAGTTCAGACATTTTGATTATTTTGAACGCTGCTGGTTCTCTAGTGTTGTATATATTTATTTTGTAAACTTTTAAAAGGAAAAATTGGAAGCAATAACAACAAAACATCTTTCCTTAATAAAAGCATTAAGCGCCTTCAGTCCTGTTTATCTATTTAAAGCGTTTTTCTATTGGATTATTTAGGTTCAGCTGCTTAGAGGAACCTTCCAGATGCCTGTTTTCCATTCACAGATCTTCAGTTCATTCATATATTTAGCCGCCTGCAGCCATCTGCAGTTTACACCTGTTCAACCCGACTCTCACTGATGCACCAGCCATTAAGCGTTAGCTGCACGAGGTCTCTGTGCAGGTTTTAACCTCACAGCCTGTGATTTATCCCTGAAATGAACCACAGGCCACGTTTAGCCTGCTTATCCCGACTCCGTCCAGACGTTAAGTTTTCCGTTCAGAGATCCGGGATCCCAGATCCTGGCACCATCTGCTCGCTGCAGCCGCACTGCACTGTGGGAAACGGCGCCATCTGCTGCTCAGAACCCTTTGCGCTTTATTTCTAACTCAGAATGAAGCTCAAAACTCTCTGTTCTGTAGATGATTCACCAGCATTTAGGTGTGTAATGCTGCAACAATAAATGACCACGCCTTGCTGCGCCTGCATGCTTTAACAGAAAGAAGAGCTGTGTGTCAGTTTTTTCATTCATAGTGACGTACTTCTGTGTTTTGTACAGAGTTTGTACATCAATTTCAATGAAAGTTAGAAATATAGAAGTTTTATTATGGAAAAATAGAATCTTTCTCTTCTCACCTGGACTTTATTAAAAATCTGAGTTTTCCTCAATATAAGGTTTGTTTTATATTGATATGTAAATAACTTCCTCCATTTTTTATTTTTCATACAGCAGTTTTAGGTTTTTGTCCAACTCTTCAATCTTTTTGGTTTAACGTTTTGGTCTCCAGACATCCTCACATCAGGGACTAAAACTCGTTTTGTTTCCTAAAGGATCCAGTTTGAATATCAAACCACTCTCAAAATAAAGTCTTCAAAAATGTCATTTAAATGATCAGTTGTGTTTAATTTAATGTAGTTTTGTTTACTCAGCAAAACTACATGATTTTTTTTCTGACATTTGAATGCTGGACGTTCTAATTAAGGTGATTTAAATGAATATTTTTCAGGTTTCGACACTGAGGGCCTCCCTTCAGCTGTGTGGCCTGGAGGAGAGACTGAAGCTCTGACTAGGATAGAGCGCCATCTGGAGAGAAAAGTCAGTATTACACCCTCATGTTACCTTTGGGATTACTTATCCTTTATTTATTTAGCTTAAATTTCTACAAGATAATGTGACATCCTCACTCCAGTTGATGAAAATAGTTTCTGTTAAATATATAAATTTGTTTCTGACAGTAAAGTTTTTATCAAAGAATCATTTCTATGACTTGTCTATTTATGTATTGTTTTTTTTTTTATTTCTTTTGCATTTATGTTTTGGGTTTTTTTTCAGCATTGTGAGGTTTTTTCACTCATGAAAAGGTTAAACTTTTTTTATTACTTAATGTGTGAGAAAAAAGCAAAGACATTTTTAAATTTCAGTTTTTTTTCTACTTTTCGAACTCAGAAATTTTATTTTGAACATTTTTGAGCTTAAACTCAAAATTACTGTGAATGTTCTCCTTTTTTCTGTCTGCAATGGCGCTACTAATAACATTATTGTAGGAATAACCATCACACCTAACAAGTTAGAGCAGCAAACAGAAATTTCTCAATTTTAGAAACGATCTTTTGAGAGATTTTTCAGATATTGACCAAACATGTCTGATCACATCTTTATTTGGGTTCATCTCGTCTCTCTGCCCAGGCGTGGGTGGCTAACTTCGAGCGTCCCCGGATGAACGCCAACTCGCTGCTGGCCAGCCCGACGGGCCTCAGCCCGTACCTTCGCTTCGGCTGCCTCTCCTGCCGCCTCTTCTACTTCAAACTCACCGACCTCTACCGCAAGGTTGGTCCCCAACTCACAGCACGCTGCAGAACGACCCATTTATTGAGTTTTGCAACAACCGTTCTTAAGAACAGAACAGAATGCAATTATCATCTGTTGTCCCACAATGGGGAAATTTCTTTGCAACAGCAACAAAGTGAATAACAGCAAATATACTCACAAAAATTGAAAATACAATATTCATAAAAACAGAATGAATAAAAAAATACCATACAGTAAAAGGAAAAATTAAAGTAAATGTGACTTTTTGTTAGTGTGCTGGATGAATCACAGACTATAACTTCATTTCAATTAAGAATAAGGAATTAGAAATACTGCCACCTTCCAATTTGTGTGACTATTTTGCAGTAAATTCACTCTCAATGATGCATTAGTGCTAAAAAAAGAAAAAGAATCTTGATTTTGTGAGAATTTTGTTTTTCTTCCTAGATTTAGTTTCTTTGTTGTGACTTTTTAGCAACAAGAACAAGATTTGTTTCAGTCCTGCTTTGTTTTGCCAAGTTTATTAAACGGCCCTCGTGTGAATTTTAATTAGAGCCACTGAATGTTTTAGATCCATATTACTAATAAATCACATTAAATTAAATCAGGGAAAATTTCTTCATTTTTAAATCGTATCACCATCGACAGCCTAAGGAACAAATTTTAACCAGTAATAAATGGCCAAATTAAGGTAAAACTGCAGAAATCAAAGTAGCATGAATAACCAGTTTTTTTCCATCTCTGTTTAAACGGCTTCAGGTAAAAAAGAACAGCTCTCCTCCGCTCTCGCTGTACGGACAGCTACTTTGGCGCGAGTTCTTCTACACCGCGGCTACCAACAACCCACGCTTCGACAAGATGGAGGGAAACCCCATCTGCGTCCGCATCCCGTGGGACAAGAACCCCGAGGCGCTCGCCAAGTGGGCCGAGGCCAAGACCGGCTTCCCCTGGATAGACGCCATCATGACTCAGCTGAGGCAGGAGGGCTGGATCCATCACCTGGCCCGGCATGCCGTGGCCTGCTTCCTCACCAGAGGAGACCTGTGGATCAGCTGGGAGGAAGGGATGAAGGTGAGGAATGCCAACTCCACTTTCACAGAACTATTTTGATCAAGAAGGAACAGCTTCCTGAGACAAACTCAGAAATGACAATGAGACATTTTGCTGCTGCAGGTTTTCGAGGAGCTGCTTCTGGACGCAGACTGGAGTGTGAACGCGGGCAGCTGGATGTGGCTGTCCTGCAGTTCATTCTTTCAGCAGTTTTTCCACTGCTACTGCCCCGTGGGCTTCGGCCGGCGCACCGACCCCAACGGGGACTTCATCAGGTGGGTACCTTTCCTGTCATCGCCCATTGGGTGCCAACAACTGATTCCAACCACATGGATGCTGCCCTCCCTCTGTCCCTCTCTCTCCAGAAACCAGATATTATTAGGTTACTGAAAGCAATAGGACCTTAAACTGGATCCAGGAAGTAATAGGTTTATTTCGCAAAATGTTTGCAAAGTTTTCTAGACTTGCTTTTTTATCTTTAGTTTATAAACTGAGGCTCAGATCAGGCAACTATTCAACTGCACAGGCCAAACTAAAGCATAGCAAGAGAGAGAGATGGGGGGATAAATGTGGAGCCTCCAGATTTCTGGGTAAGTGATGAGATAGAATAAAACTCCTTAAACTTTTTGCTATTTTCTTGTTTTGCCATCATTTCATCTTTCCGTCTGTCCCAACTTCAGTACTGTAGTCTTGGGATGTCAGGCATGTCTTTTCTAACAACCTCAGTTCTCTCTGTAATTTTTAATTGTTTGTGAGTGTTGGTGATTGTGAACTCGCACACATCAGTAGGTTCATACCTGTTGCTAGCAGATGACTCTCTGCAGAGACATAGATTATTTCCTCTCTTTTTTTCTGGATGTAGCTCTGTGTTTGTGTTTTTGGCTCATCTGTTTTTTATGCGGGGGTTTGGGGGAAAAGTTCAGCTGTCCCTCTCCCCTCTGTAGATTGTAGATGATTGCTTTTAAGTTGATTGGCCGTTCTCCAGCCCCCTCCTTCCACCCAGGCGCAGTCTGGGCCGCCCGGCTCCAGACCGCCCTGGGGTAGAAGTTGGAAATCCAGCTGAGAAATCGGTGGCCGTTTTGTTCTGATTCTACCTGTGCAACCCGGGACTTGCTCACGCCCCAGCGGCGCCTTCTGGGCAGGTTTGTGACTCGGTAGCGTCTCATTTCGTCAAAAGGGACTCTGACCGCTTGGTAGGGAAATGCAAACGCCTTGCCTGCGTTCGCTAGGTAGAGCTCTGTGAAGCATTTCCCGGAGGGTAGCGAGGAGAGGCGTTGGACCAGCTGTAGCTCTGCCATCGCAGTGTTGCACGGGTGGCGCTGGTACTCGTTACCTGCGCGGTGCCACGCGAGCCGGTCCATTGTCCAGGCGCTGGGCAAAGCCCCTCGTCCAGCCCTTTGTGAAATGTTCAGTGGCGCTCTGCTTAGGTGAATGCAGCCTTGTTGGTTCCGGTGGGCCTGGAGCAGCGGCTGGCTTTATGCTGAGAAACGGGCATGGGTTAGGTCACCTAGTTGCCTCACACTGTGGTACCACCAAATGAAGCAAAATTAGTCATGTTGCAAGTACTAGAATTGTTTTTAATGCGATTCATGCAAAAACTTTCTCACTTATACCCAAAAATACACAAAAAACAAACATTAAGCACCTTAAATAGTAACTTAAATCGGTTCAACATGTGATAGTTGTTATATTTATTTGTAATAATGAGAATTTTTCTCATTTATGTCCTAAAAACACAAGAAAAACAAACATTAACTGCCTGAAAATTAGGAGATGCTAGGTTTGCAAAAATGCTAAAGTGCTAATTAGAACATTAGCGCAAAGTAAGAAGACTTCAATTTTTTTACTAAAGTCAAAAATAAGAAGTAGCAAAGAAATGACTCTAGTAAGACTAAAAAAATATTTGATAAAATCTATTCAAGTACTGAGTAACTGATCAAATTATCAATCACTTAATAATTCAAATTACATAATCAGGTGGACCAAAATATAAAGTTAAGTAGAAATGTTGGTATTGTAATGATGGAAATGACAGTAATTCACATAAATAACAAAAAATAATCAGGCAAAAGAAAATGTTTCCAAATCAGTTTCTTTCAGTAAAAAAAACTTATAAAACTTAAATAAATACTGCAGGTCTGTTATTGGTGATTTTTTTTTAATTAAAATATGTTCACGTGAGAATAAAAAAAAAAAAAAAACAGAAATTTTACTCAAGTGCATTGAAATCACTCAAGTAAAAGTATAATAAAAATACTCCTAAAAGTAATTAAAACTATGTTACTCAAGTAAATGTAAATGGTTTCTAAGTAAATCTCCTAGAGCTTCGTATCACAGTGTGCTGCCTTCCTAAAAACAAAGTGTGTAGAAAGTGTAGGCTCCGCCCCCAACACCACCTGCTGTTCCCTTCCAGGACCGCTCGCTACTAGCAGGTCGCGGATCTTCCTGGCAAAAGGGTTGTGGTCCTTTTTGGTGAAATGAGGGGGCTCCCTAGTGGGCCGGCCCAGAGCGTGGCGCTGTGCCGTGGGGAGGAGACAGTCAGCAGGGGGGCTATGGGCCCGCTGACCACTTAAAAGTTAACCACCACAGTCTGGGGGATGGGGAGCATGAGTGAGCTCTTTTCTCAGTCCACCACTGTCTGATCGTGGGGGATAAAGTTTGGAGGGAGGGAGGGCAGGCGGGGGCCTGGAGCTGCGAGGTATAATGGGAAACTTCTGTCATCGACAACGAGTGTGGAGCATCTTTCCTCTAACGACTGGCAGAGTTTTAGATGTTTTATTAACAAAGTATTAGGGGTGCACCGATTTTATCAGCCAGCCGATTCATAAGAGCGATTTCCTCAGTTTGGGGAGTTTGGTGATGAATCTTACTGACATGTGAAGCCGATCTTATTTACCTCAGCAAAGGTCTGAAAATCGGCTGCTGTCTTCTTCTCTCCTGTTAGAGGTGTGACTGTTAGCCCCGCCCCCAGGTGACAGCCGCACGTTTGCTGTTAACAATAGTCACTATTAGCAACTCAGAGATTTTTCTTGCTACATTTAGAGCCACTTCAGGCAAAATTAAATAGCCTTTTTAAAGATTGGTGATCGGCCAGAAAACTGCAATCAGTGCACCTCTAAGGAACGTTGATGAAAAACATTTAAACATGGCAGATGAATAGATCCGAGTTCAAACATCAAAGGAATCAAGCAAACTTTTTTTTTTCAGCGAGAAAACAGTTTTTATTTTTTTTTATTTTATTTTTTTTTTGATGGCAGAATTTTCCCAGCATACACCTGCTCTGGTCGGGGTGGCGGGAGGGCGGGTGGGGTCAATGCTCTCTGCTTTCTAACCGCGTGTTACAGTAGACGTCTCCTAGCATCTTCTACTCAATCGGCAGTGGTCTCTCTCTCTCTCTCGAGTGGTGGTGCGATCTCCGCAGCGAGCGGAGCGTCGTCCGTCACGGGCGTGCGTGTCGGCCCACTGGGCCGGACCACACCGACCCCCACCCCTCTCTGCACAGTTCCACTCGCCCCCCCTCCTTCTGTCCTGTCAGTCTCCCCTCCTGGGACTAGGTAAGGTTGGACCGAGTCCAGTAGGTAGGTGGCCTCTCTTTGTCACACTGAGCGACTCCTGGCAGCTCAGCGACTCAACGCTATTGTGAGAAGTTGATATTTTTGGTTTCATCTCTTGGAGGATTAGACTTTTCCTATTGTCAGTGGTGTGGCTGTTGTCACCGTAACTTACAGTAAATGTGTTCAGGACCACAGCCCCTCGTTTTCCATCAGGTTTGGAGCTTCAGTACTCACTCTGCACCGGCATCGTATCTCACTGCAGAGCCAGAAATGCTCAAAAATGAGTTTCAGAATGGAAGAAAAAAGATTTTCTGCTTGAGCTCTCTAGCACCGCAGCATTACTGTGCAGCATTGTGGTTGTATCTCTCATTTTGTAGAAGCTATTTTCCATAGATGATGGCCACCCTGCTCCGATTAATTAGAACACACTGATGGGCGGCAAAGTAAAACACATTTTCCTTAACACCGATAGAAAATAGAAAATGTGTTCATACATTTTTACAGCTATAAAACTTAAATTAAGACACATTTTTGTTCACTGTGAAGTCAGTTGAGTACGATACTTCTTCCCATTTGGCAAAAGCAAGAGCATCTAATGTCGTCTTGTGCTTCCAGGCGATACTTACCTGTTCTCCGAGGTTTTCCCGCCAAGTTCATCTACGACCCCTGGAACGCCCCAGAGTCCGTTCAGGCGGCAGCCAAGTGTATCATCGGAGTCCATTACCCAAAACCCATGGTGCACCACGCGGAGGCCAGCCGGCTCAACATCGAGAGGATGAAGCAGATCTACCAGCAGCTGAGCCGATACAGAGGCCTGGGTGAGGAAACGAAGTCGTTGCTGTTTGAGGATCTGATGTAGTCAAAGTAAATCAGAAAAGTATCATGCGCAACAAATGGCACAACGTTCTGGTGTACGTGTGGCCATTTATCATGAAAAATGTTAAATCGAATATTACTAGAAATACTTATTTGTACATTTTGATGTCAGTTCGCCTCAGTTTAATATAAAAAGGACAAACATGGGAATATTTTTGTGTTTTAATAATTTTCACGCATTGATAGTTGCCCAATAATCGAACACACGCAGATATTCTCAAAAAAAAAACTTTTTAAAATATTTCTTAAATATTCAAGATGTGTTTCTGTTTTCCAGGCCTGTTAGCTTCTGTTCCCTCCACAAACGGGAACGGAAACGGAGGAATGATGGCCTACTCTCCAGGAGAGCAGCAGTCAGGGACCAACAACAACAATTCACACTGTAAGAGATCAAGGAACAAAATATTAGAGTTTTTATCGTTGCCTAGGGTCCGTTTGAAGACATTTTTCTCTTATTTCAGTGCCTGGAGTGTCAGGAAGCTCGGTGGCCACAGGGAACGGAAGCGGGAGCATTTTATTTAACTTTGACAGCGAAGAACAGACGGGGCCCAGCAGAGTTGGGCAACAGCAGCGACTTCACACACTGCCACACAACCAACATCAGCAGCAACATGGTAAGAACACTTCTGATGTGAATGTTTCCTGTTAAATATCACTTTTTTATTCTTTATCGGTCTGAATGAGGGACTAAAGGTGGATAAAAACACGACGGCCTGCCGAAAATTTCCCAAAAGACAACAGAGAAAAATGTGTTATATTCAGATAAAACCCAACATTTCGGCCACAGTTTGTCTGGTGCAAAAGTAATGCTACACAGCACAGTAGAAAAGTAATACTGTGAGGCATGGAGGTGGCAGCATGATGCCCTATGTCTCTTCACATGGGACTGGAAATTATGACCAGTTCCAAAAACTACTCAGTTTTGATCCAAAACCTCCGTGAAGAAAAGGAGGGGATTATATTCGTCAGCATTGATCTGAGTCCAAATCATGGACATCTACATCAAAATGAAGCACCTTCATGTTGTGAATGTCATAATTAAGCACAATCTGTGTTGCGTCTCCAGCAGGATACCACTCAGTGCCAGACTCCAGCCAGAACATCACCAGCAGCCGACTCTATCATGAGTTTGCTGTGCCTCAACACCCAGGTGAGAGCTGTGAGCAGATACGATTCTCTTTTGGACTCATTTCTGCCACAAGGGAGCAACACATTTACAGTAGTAGCTTGTTCCTGCATGTTTTCTGTGTGTTCATGCTTCAACAGGCCAAATTTGAATGAGTGGGTCAGTAAAAAGCCTCCGTAGAAGCTAATGACTCACTGATCTGCAGAGGAAACTATTTGAAACATGGAGCTCCTGAAACTCCTGTCTCAGTTCCCTCCAGGTCCTTCCTCTGATGTACGTTTTTCTGCTTGCCCTCTGCAATTTACAGGCCTCCTCCCGCACACCAGGGGCAGCGGCGTCACAGGAAAACGAGAGCGCGAGTCAGAACGGGAAGGGTCGGGGGAAGAGGAGCCGCCGTCCTGCTCTGTGAACAAAATGCAGAGACAGAGTGCAGAGGTACAGAAATCAGCGCTTCTTTTTCCTTCAGCATACAAGAAACATATGCAGGCTTAAATTAATGTATCTAAAATTAAGGCCTTAAAAGTCCTAAAATCATTTAATAAAAGTAAGTATGCAGATGGAGACTTTTAATTTATTTTCTTACAAAATAAAATGTAAAGTACAACACAAAGTGTTTATCTCTTTATGACTGAGCTTTAGCAAAAAGTAAAATCGTCATGTTTAATCAGAGATTTTTGCACCCAAATCAGCTTTTATTTAATTTATTCAACTTGGCTAAATGTAGAAAGGGTTTTGAAAGAAAGTGACCCAAATCCTTTTCTTACTACTGAAAATAAATGTGTTAATTTTAATACAGCAAACGTACAAAATCTACGACGGCGTATTAGGGCCATCACAGATTAAAAAAAGAGCAAATTTCCACCAAAGACATTGAGATTAATCCCAGAGATTTTTTACAAAAATTTGTAAACTTCTGAGTTTCAAATGTTGAAAATATTTCACATAAAAATTCCAAAAAATCAAAAAATTTAAATTGTTTTTCAAGAACATTTGAGATTTTTCTGTTTTTTTTTTTTTTTTTGTTTGTTTTTTTTTGTTGGAGTTTAACTTTTTTGATATTATTTTTTTAACACAAAATCACAAAAATCCCTCTCAAGTTTTGGAACTACAATAAATGTCCATTTGGAAAAAAGTTTAGGCTGCTTTTGACTTAGAGATCTTGGCCCACGTGAGAAAAAGTTTGGTTCTTTCTTCAATGACAGGAGATTATTGATATTATCATTTCACCGTGTATTTTATGTATTCTTCTTTATCAGGACTTTTCTGTCGGGTAAAGGTTTGCATTGCGTTTTCATTGAGTTTGACTCACTTTTAAAAAAGAATAAACTGGAATTAATTCTCACTTCATTATTTTCTGCCACTTTGTCTTTCGTTTTTATCAAGAAACTTGTGGGTTATGTTTCTCCAATTCAGTTAAATTTAGTCATGTAAATGTCACCTCCAGGCACGTCAGGAGAAAACGACAAATAAATGCTGGTGTGACGAAAACAGAAACTTGTTTTAACCTGTAAAAAACTCTGATCTTTCCATCTCAGACTGGAAGTTTTCTTTAATTAGCTTGACAGATACCCAAACAGTCATTTATAATTTATGTATGTGTGTTTGGTTTTGTTACCACAAGAGCATTATGTAACTGATTGAATCAGGAAAGGAACTTTATAGGAGATTATTTTACAGAATTTGAAGCAACTGAAGGCAAAACTTTCACTTGAGGACTTGTGTGTATTTATATGTTAATTACTGCTTTGAGTGTGTTGCTCTTTCAACAACTGGTATTTTTGAGTCTGTTAGCAATGAATCAATCACTAAATTAGCTGATGATTATTTTTAATAATCAGTTAATCACAATTAATTCTTAAAAATAATCATCATTGCTGGTATGATTATTGTTGAGAGTCTGAAGTACAACATCAACTTTAATTGTTCAAGTTCTTATGGGAATACAATGATGCCAAATGTCGCTCTTTGATGGAGTTAGATATTTTTTCCTGCCTCTCTGTGTGGAGCAGAAAGATGAACTTTTATCTTCACCCAGCCTCGTTTTTTTTTTTTTTGCATTATTTTAATGTTTTTAGTTCTAAACACATTTCTGAACATTTTTATCCAACAAAAATAAGATCTCAGATCTGTTTATGTTTCATAAGACACTAAATATCTGAATATATTTAATAAATTATAAATGTTATCAACGTGCTCTATATGCCAGCGTTAAACATAACCTTTGGAAAAGGCCCTATGACTATGAATGTTTTTATTTTCATCCTCTGGATAAACATCAGTCACTGTATGATGTGAACTTTCCTCTCCTACTTCAAAGCAAATATATTCCATTATTTGCAGCCTGTTCACGGTGCAGGGTAGTCATCCATGCAAATGTCAGACCTGTCATGAAGCTGCTCACAATAAAAAATACAAAGCAGATGTTTGTATACAGGAGCTCAAATATGGAAAACAATGGTTCGCATAATGGGCAAAAGCCGTGGAAGTGGGAGTGCAGGAAAAACGCCACCAAACATTTCGGAAATGAAAGATGGTAAAACCATGAAGATTACGTAATGTCTGTTTCGGAAAAAGTATCAGTTTGTGTTTACATTTCAGCTAAAACACATGTTCAGAAATACTTACAGACTTCTCTATAATCAGTGCTAAAACCTTTTTTGTCGTTGTAGATATAAAAAGTTTATTTTATGTGTTTGTTCATCTCTTGAGTTGAACACCGAATGTTTGAAAAAGGAATCCCTCCTTGCCATCACCCTAATCTTTAAGAGCCCCAGTCAGAAACATTAAATTAAAGGATGACTTTCAATTAAACTGCAAAAGCACAAAATATCACCAATTATTTTTGTTCTAGTTTCTAGTGCAAATATCTTAATACAATTGAAATAAGACAAAACGAACATAAAAGTAGCTTTTCAGCAAAATATAAATGCTTCTTTGACATTAATATGAATGAAAAAGTTCTAGTTCTATTGGCAGATTATTTTACCTTTAGTCTTGTTATAAGTGAATTAATGTGGAATTGAAACTGATACTTTTTCCTCAATATTGAAACATTATTGGCTTAAATCAAGCTCATATTTCTTGTTGAAAAGTTAATTGTAAGCTGGCTTTATCTTATTTCTAAGTGTACTAAGATGTTGAACTAGGAACTAGACCAAAATTAATTGGTAACGTTTTGTGATTTTGGAGTGTAAATGTGAATAATTTGGGTCCAAATATATCCCAAACCTGTGTAATCGAACTCGAGAAACCTGTAAATTCCCACAGTACAGTAAATATCTTGCTGTAGACACAGATTCAGAGCTGAGCTATTCCAGGCTGAGTTTCTCCGGTCATGCCTCTGGTTAATAAGCAGCTAACCTGCTATCTGGAGACCAACAACACTCTTCCTCTTTTGCAGTCTGACTGTAGAGTCGGCCTTGCTTGTCTTGCAGCAGCATTTTCAGTGTTAAATGACTTCATATATCCCAAATATGGATTTTTGATTGATTAACATTAGGGCTGGTGTAAACAAATATTTTAGTAGTCTATCAATTATCCTTACGATTAATTGAGTAATTAGATAAAATAAAATATTGGTAAATCTAACATAATAGCCGTATTACTATCACATATCAACATTAGTCTTTGTGAGCATTTGAACAGTAACTTTTCTGCAGTTTATAAAATTAGCCTGTAACAATAATAACTCACTTTCTAAGTGAACCTGAAGACAAGTTATATAAAAATCTGACATTATATTCAATTAAATAATAAAGAGGAAGACTCACAAATATGCTTATAGAAAATGTTTCCAGCTTTTGGTTTAATTATTCATTTTCAGTGAGTTTGGTTCTGGATGCAGGACCAGAACCAGAACCAGAACCAGTACCTGATAGGTCTGCAAGGTTGAAACAACAACAGCAGCAGATCTTTAGTATGTTTTGGTGCTTGGCAGTAATTTATAAGTGATTTATAAACTCACAGAAGTATTTTAAAGTCTACTCTCAGAGCTCCAGTCTTTGGCCATGTACAATGTTTTCCAGTCTTAATTAGATCCAATCCTATTGCTATGCTAGCAGTTCTTTTATTCGTGTATATGCTGATGACACCATTTTGTTCACATCTAATCCAGTTTAAGATTCACTTTCTTTTTAATCTAAAGGCACTCGCATCTCTGTCATGACAAATCAGTCAAAGCACAACCTTAGATTACAGTGGTATTATCTACAGAAACGCCTCCACCACTTTCCCCTGAAACTGGATGTCATCTGTTTTATTGCAGTCCAATTTGTCCTGGGTTCTTCTTTCAGCACTCACCATGGTAATGAATGTTTGCTTGTAAACTGTGCACCACCCCGTTTTGACAGGATACTTCATTTGGAACAGGTTACAAGTTAATTATTGAAAAACTGATGGGCTTTCAAGCTGATTATTAATTTGATGTGGACGTAATGAATCAGCGTCTTTCTCTGAACGAGAGAGACGGTTGCTTCAGTAACGAAATATTTGTGTGATTGTTTTCTGAATGTTTGGTACATCTGAAGCCAAACTGGACCAAAAGTCCAGACATTACCACTTCTGAAAAGCTGTCAGGAGTTTGCATACAAGCAATTGTCAGCAAACTTTATAAATAAAAACTTAATGGGAGTTTTAATTTATTAAATAAACAGCGTTATTTATAGTTTTCCTTCTTAAGCCAAGAACTAAATTATTTCCCTTTTTTCTGTCTTTAAAGCAGATTTTAATATTTCTATGTCTTCTCTGGTCCTTCTGCAGACGTCTTAGGCCTGGTGGAGACGAGTCGGCTTAAAAACACGTTAGCATCACCATCCGGTCGGCTGTTTGAGGAAAAGCCCAACGTCGCCTCCTGAGCTCCATCCGGACACGACGACCTGCCTGTCGATCTCAACGCACCACAACTGTGTGTTTTTTTTGTTTTGTTTTGTTTTTCAAAGCTCCCAGAGGTAATTTTTGTTTTTTTTTTTTTTTTTTTTTTTTTTTTGAGAAATTGGTTCTTTCAGGTGGGGCAGCATGAGAAGAATGTGCAAAACGCCTCAAACCTTGGTTAAAATGTTTGTAAAAAAGAAGTTTAACAAGAAAAATAAAAAAAAACACTTAATTGTCTTAAAACTGCTGCCACCAGCCAATATAAACTGTACAGATACTGAATTGCAGCTATAAATGTGATAATGAGTTTATTTTTTCCCCTCTTACAGTAAAGACACTAAATCCCTCCCATCAGATTTACATCTTCACAGTAAAATAATGCAGTTTTTATATTTGTTTTATGCACCGACGCAAAAAACTGTTTATTTTATTTAATAAAAATGTGGACATCTAAAGATGAAGGACAGTTTTTATTGAAATGTACAGAAATCAATAAAAGTGTATGCTTTGACAGAGACAACCAGGCAGGTACTTTCAGGGACTTTATAGAAATAATCCAAGTACTTTCTCAGTCACCTGTTGCGAGTCTGTGTAAAAATACTGTTTGCATTCATTTGAGGTCCAACTGGCTGTTTTTGGGGCAGTCTGCTGCTGCCTGCTTGGTGTAAGAGATAATCTGTTGGCAGCTGGTGACTGAAGGTTTATTTTTGTTTGGAGGTTTTAAGACACAAAGCACAGGAATCTAATTACACAAAGTGTAACAAAGCACCTCAGACCAGCTCCTTTCTTCATCTAGGATTGTTTTTACAGTGTGTTACTACAGATTACTTTGAAGATTTCTTTTAACTTGGTTGTTTATGCTGTATTAAAAAAAAGAAAACCGATTTAAAGATGTGAAACTTTCCATGAAAAATCTTTTAGGGTTTCTTTACTTTTGTTTTTTTATTTATTCTCATAGATGTCATGGTGAGTCACCCACATCACAAACAATAACTATAAAAAGATCTATAAATATGGATTTAGTTCAGTAAAAAACTCTGATAACAGATTATTTCAAAGCACTTTAAAAAGCTATTCAAATTGAATAACTGGCAGCCATTTCTGTAATAAATGCTCTACTTTTCTTTTCACCATGTCACTATTATCCTCACACCATCCCTCTTCGTGTCTCCTTTTGCCACGTCCTCCAAATCTCTCATCATAGCAGATGTGAACTTTTTCTTTTTCTCTTGCATCTGTCTCTTACATCACCTCTGAAATGCTTTTCCCTGCACTTCCCCACCTGCACTCACCATTCACCAGCTGCGAATATTTCGGCAGTCTGTTTAAACTCATCAAGATTTGTCCTGTTGTTGCTGACTTTCAGTCTTCTTTCACCTGCTTGCTGGACTCTCCCAAAAAAAAAATCACAATATCATCGGTAAACGTCATAATCGTCCATCCATCCGATTTCCAACACCCTTGACCCAGTGGGGTCGGGAGGATCTGGTGACCCCCATCTGCTTAACACATCAATCAAAGACTTTCATTCCTTTTCTGGACTCCCCCCCAAAAATCACAATATCATCTGCAAACTTGATAATCATAATATTAGGATTACATAAAGCCAGGTAGCTTGTGAATTCTCTGTTTTCTTACACTGCTTGATGTGATCTTACTGATGACGCAGGGAAAATGTTTGCATCATCTGAAATCAATAATAGACATAAAACTGAGGTCAGACGACCTGCAACTCTGGAGTTTCTGTGAGTCAAAGAAACGCTTAAAACTGCAGATTAAAGTCAAATCTCTATCAAAATAGGCCTTTTTCTGTATTTACATTGTTTTCCACAGATTGGTCAACATTGTCTTACAATTGACGTCCTGCTCTCACTTTTCTTTTTGATGTGAAACTATTTTAGGCCCATCGTAGGGTTATATTACAGTTTAGACTTTATAGCTGTTTTAATAAAACCCTTTTTCTGGTTCATGTGGCTCAGTAGGGACCACTTGAACGTTATCGCCCTGTACTTTGATTGTACCAGATTGCAGATTTTCTTTCTTTTATTCTTATTGTTTGTGGTGTGGACGCCCACTAATGGCAGAAAAACGAGTCACAACATCTCCCCCTTTTGCTTTTTTGTTTGTTTTGAAGAAAAATGTTCAGACTCAGCTGTAAATATTAATTAGCTGTAATCTTTGCTGTCCCAGTTAATCTGACACATTTAGTCTGTTCTGCCAGGGGGAGTGCTGTTTGACCATCTACATATGTAACTTAAATGTTCCTGAATTATCATTCACAAACCCATGTGTTCTGTGGTTTTTCCACCTCAATGTAATGTTACAGTATTAGTGATTTTATTGTTGCTCCCTCCAAAATCTCAGTTTGTTTAAAAACAAAACCTTCAGAGGATTTGACTTTTGAAATAAATTATTTAATCTGAGGGCTTAGCAGAACAACAAAAATTGCTACTTTTTTAAGAGATTTCATATAAAACTAAAAACTCAATGAACAAAAACATTAAAGCAGTAAGTTGAACTAAAATAAAATAAGTGACTGCGTTTAAATGAGAAAAGCAGAAACCGACATCCCTTAGAACAAATCAAATTCTGTCTGAAGGATTTCTACAACCAGAGAAGAAGTTAAGCCACATACGAACACATGGCTTCTTGTCACATTGTGGAACCAAGAATTGTACAAAACTGTTGATTTAAAACGTAGATAAAGGCGGAAAATTGTTGTTAAAAATTAGAAAGATGCACCTGGTCTAATTCAGGTTCTGTATTCGCCGTCCGCCATCTTTTATTTACGTCTGTTGAGTTGATGTAAACCAGAAAATGTACCAAACCCACTCTGTAAAAAATACCTCTCAGAATTACAGAAATCCAGATCTATTCAGTGTAATTTATGAACACAAAGGATTTAAGGATTAAATCTCAGTGGAACGATGAAGCTGAGTGGTGAACACAAGCATCTGGAGAACGTGTTCGGCTTGAAGTGCATATTGAGTTACTAACTGATGACGACTCTTGAGAAATATGATATGATATCCTTCCTATATTTTACGTTTTCAACCATTTGCTGTAATCAGAGATTATGCGGGGATGAAAACATAACATCCCTGCATGATGGTTCCCACACACAACTTCAAAGTACAGAAATAAAAGCAGAAATTTTTGTCATGTTTAGACAGGGGGAAACGGATCAAGTCCCAACTTGAAACCAGTGCCAGTTTTGTTTAACATAAAATGTGGGTCTAATAAAAGCAAGAGTTACTTTGATTGGCTCTGTTCTAATAAACCGTGCTCTCCTGGCTCTGAACCAAATCTGAACCGAAGGCACTAATCAACTTTTGTGCATTCCGAGCAAAACCAGATAACTGCAAGATAACTTAAACTCTTCACTGATGGGTGAAGTGAAGCGTTTTATTCTAGCCAAAGTCCTCATGAGGATCTTGGAGTTTCTGCTCTCCTAAGAAAGTTCTGGTGACTCATGTCTCTGTACAAATATTGACATTTGTTCATCTGTGATCATGCTGCCCGCGGCTTCAGGAGTAACGTAGAGGGACGGGCGGGTGATGTTCAGACGTAGCGTTTCCGTATCATAAATCTGTATGTCCTCAAAAAGATTTAAATATTATTAGGTTTTTGTAGTTTTTATCACAATAGTGAAAGCAAGTTGAACCAAGTTTTTATTCCTGATTTTATTTCCCATTATTATTATTATTATTATTATTGTCTTTTTGTTCCCTTCTGTGACAGGAAGGAGAAAAATACACCATCTGCCACTTCTGTAACTACTATGTTGTCTCTGCTCCTCCTTGTATTGTGAAAGGCTTTTCTTGTGCTTTATCAAATGGGGAATTAAAACTGCTACAACTTGACGCTGTCCTCCATGTTTTGTGTTTTATTTGCATTGATGCAGTTAATCTCATCTGATGCCACTGAAACGTTACTTTCCCATGCAGTTCATCAACGATGGACAAACCAAACTCATCTTGAACGTGCATAGGTTCACACCAGAGTTTCAGGTTTCGGTGGAACCTGCCGTCTCTTTCAATTAAATTACAACTCAAAGTATTTTTATATCGCAAAAAAAGTGAAATATTTTGGAGTTTGAGGCACAAATCTAAAACGTAGCAGCAAGTAGGAAAGATGTACGTCACAATTAAAAAATGTTTTCATTACAAAAACAAAACTATTAAATCAACATATTGGTGAGCTGAAATCTTAGATCTTTTCTCTACAGTTTAAATTAAACAGCAGTAATAATGAAAATTAAAATAAAGGGAATATGTTCCTCATACTGTTTTTTAATAATAAAGAAATACGTACCACACCTGTGACACTTCTGATGAAGACAAGTACAAAATTGAAGCATGTTTTGTCTAAAAACAAAAGAATCTTTAAGACAAAAAGATTTAATGTGTACATTTCTATTCTTCTTAAGTTGCTTAAAAACAGGACTGTTGTGGTTTGAACTGGACTGTTTGAACCACCTGCAGCTGAAGTCCTCACTTATTTAAAAAAACAAACATGCATAAAATATCTGGCCTGAAAAATCCAGTCCCACAATGTCTGTATGCTTTGCATCTGAGCCCAATCTGACCCGACTAATTAACTAATATTATATACCTCAACAGGTTAAACTCCTCAGTTTATATACAAATAAGAAATTAACTAAACTTCTCGTATTATTTGTTTTCCAGCCACATAGTGCCATTTCATAACAGAATCAAGTAACTGTTACATGACTTAAAATAAATGTGACTTTTTAATTGAATGCTTTGAAATGGGGCCTCTGTCTCTTTAAGAAACTCCACCTTCAGAAAGTTATCACATGGCTTCTCTATTAATTTCCAATAATGAGCTCAGATGTGTAGTTCTGCCAGGTGTTTGCTATTTGCTGCTGGCTAGTCTGAAGGAGCTGAGTGTGGGAGGCTGCTGTGGGAGGTGGAAGCTCTGAGGAGGAGCTGCAGCCTCCAAGGCGGGGCTAGGTCCACCCAAGCATTAAGTAGAGCTGAATGCCATGGAGATTACACTCCATGTACGTTTCAGAAGGGAATAACATCTGAGCATAATAAAAAGCTCAAAAAGTTGATTTTACATCATAATGTTCCTTTAAATGTGCCACAGAAGCCCAGCTTGACATTTTTCTCCCCTCGCAATGAGATAGGTTGTTGTTTGAGCCAAACAGGTATATGGTGAAACGAAGGACACCAAACTCAGTCGCACCACCATCTCCCACTGTTCAGGCCAAGCAACCACCTAGCACCAACCAGGACACACACAACCAGCCCACCGCAGCAACAGGGAAGGTGAAGAACCAAGGTAGGGAGGCATGTTAAGGTACCGGAGCTCCTGGATGCTCAAGACAAACACCAAACCAAGGATCTCCCCAGTGATGCCTTAACCAGGTCGTCGTCACTGAGCTTAAGCTGCTGCCTATCACTGCCAATGAAAGGTAGCAACATAAAAAAGTTAAACATTACGTACAAATAACACGCACCAAAACTAGTGTTAAACGAGTTTTAATACATTTAAACATACATTTTGCTCAATTTGCATGTGATTCTGTTGCAAGTTTTATACAAATATTACTGCCACCCGCCAAACCCAGGCAACTCTACTGGATTGCTATAGTTGTGAAAAACATCATGTATTCTAAACCCGATAGACCAAAAACGTGCAAGCACACGAGCAGCAAATGAGCCAACACAAAGCAATCAGATATTACGTTTTTTATTCTTTTTTAGCGCTAAAAAGGAGACGCTTACCATCACAGACTAGAAGTGAAACCAAGGGGCCCTCGAGTCTATACAGAATATGATTAAAAACGGGAAGATTCGTTGCTTATGATCTAAAAACACGCCCAGTTGTCATCCGATGTCCTACGTCACCTAAAACTCCATTTCCTTGGAGATGGGAGTGAGGAGATGATTCAGTTTCTGTATTTGTTACAAATACATAGGCCTTTGTGTGAAAGTATGAGAGTGTAATGTGTGTAGAAGCATATGTGTGTATTTGACCTTGGTAAGCGCCTCAACACTACAAAGAAAACAATGATTCATCACATCAGACAGCACGATCCAGATTCAGTCGTTTCAGGGGACGACTGAATCTGACGTCTCGGGAACATAAACCTGAGACGCAGCTGCTTGGGCTGAAGAAGATCAAGCAATCAAGATTTTTGTTGAGATAATCTGATGGTTTGTTATTTAATTTTATTTATAGTCACAAAATCCGCTAAAACAAAATAGAGTCAACATGACTAGTTAACATGAGCAATGGCACGTAAATCGATGCATGCAATCTTATTCCAGATGAACTTTCAGTCAAAGCTGAGTCAGACTCAACCAACCGGAGCACTTTATTCACTTTATTCACTTTATTCACTTTATTACGGTTCTGCCTCACTTTAGCTTGTTATGGGAACAAATCCTCCAAATATCAGCTGACTGATATTTGGCCACCATACAACTCGGACAGATGGCTTTTGACAAAATATTGCAGAAATACCATTTGTACACAAAAATTTCAACAAAAATATAATACAACCAAATTTAGTCAATTAATCTGCAAAATAAAGTTGATTTGGGGTTTAGTTTTTGAGTTTCTGTCACATTGTGCAGGTATAGATGAGTACCTTGAAAAAGTACATATTTAATATTGAATAAATGTAATTTGATACAAACTCAAATTTAACCGGAGGTTCCACTAATCCTACTGTGACAGTAGGATTAGTGGAAACGTTCTCCTAATGCACACAGGTCTGTCTGCAGTTTCATATTCATAAATAATGCTATGCAAACACACACGTGAAAACACACACTGCCTCCTTTGTAGTGTTTGCTCAACCGCAGCAGATTAGGAGATGCAAAGTCTGCTGCATCCCATAGGAGCATCATGCCAGGCAGGGTGAGCTGTTTGTAAAAATATCACGCCTTAAAAAGCAGCGCAGCATTATTCCAACCGTCACAGTCCAACCGGCGGCTGGAGGAAAAGAACAAATTCAGGTTTATTCCTGATCCTGCCGAGACCTGAAGGATGAGATCCGTTACATCCTTGCAGAAAATGGAAAAATACGCAGCTGGAGATGGAACTGTGGAGAGATGCAGTGAAAACTGAGACAACCTCTACAGCTGGTTTCTCTGGGTCAAAACAACGCAAGACTGGAAACACGCACAGGAAATATTCCAACTATGAGACAGAAATATGAAGATCATAGCGATTCAAACAGGAATGTCAGAAGTAACACAAAAAGTTTTTGTGTTTTCCTATTTATTTATTTATTCTATTTATTGTTTTTATCCTATTTATTAAAGTTTACACATTTGATTTTTATCATCATCCCAAAGGGAAATTTAATATCAGTTTCTGAATTTCTGTGAAACTCCTTAAATAAATCGATTATTTAGTGAAGCAGCGGCAGCAGATGAAGCTGGGAGTGTTTTCTCTTTCTGTCACCATCACTACATGATTGCATCTCTTAAAACTTTTTAAAGAAATCCCAAACTGTCACTATTATAGAACAAATGGTAGACATTACAATTTGTCATATGCCATTATCAAAATCATCATCAAGTATATTGGTCAATACGCCACTTATTGCTAAATAGAGTGGTGTTGAAAGCTTTCGTCTAGATTTAGTCTTATTTTGGCTGTTTTGCAGTTTTTCTTCCAGATTTGTGGTGCATAGAAGCTGAAAGCTGCTTTTTATAATACTATTTCAAAGTCTATTCTATACAGGACGTCCTGTTTCTGTGATCAATAGTTGATTTTCTGCAGGCCTCTAGTCCTGGAAATGTTCTTCAGGTGATAGAAGGCCGACTTTGTAACTGTCCTTATGTGTCTCTGAAAGCTCATGTCCACATTTCAGGCCTGATTTCTAGAATCCAGCTGGAATAACTGAAGCTGTGCGCCGACTCCAGACGGCTCCTCTTTTGGCCCAAAGATGAAAACTCCAGTTTTGTTTCTGTTCAGCTGGAGAAGCTTTTGGATGGTTGAGAATCAGCTGCTGACAATCTAAAGCTTTGTAGCATTTGTGTGATTTTTTTAATAGCAAATTATTGCGTTGTTATATAACCTGAACTCGCAGGATCATATAGATTTTAAATAGGAAAAAATATTAGTTAATATGAAACAACTAAATCTGTATTTCACATAGTAGAATTTGGAAATCAGTCTTCCTGTTATGTAAGTAGAAGCGTTTCAGGTTCTGAGGCTTCGACGCCATCCGTAATGTTTAGCTTGAAACCCTCTTACTAAGACCTTTCGTTATTTAATTTACCGTTTTCCTGACAGGACTCCTGCACTTCTCCTCCAGAACCGCCTCAGCTGTTTGTGGCCTAAAGGTTGAAACATTCTGATTCGTATTAACATGATTGATTAAAAGTCACATCAAGCTATTGCCACAAATGTTTTGAGGGCTGAATTATTTTTGGAACTGATGGTGATCATGATGCTATTATTGATCTGGTAACTCACAGTTATTCTCAGGCTACGAGCTTAATGAATTTTGGCTTAACCTCATAGATTCCCATCATTTCCAGTCTTCCTGGTTTCCACACCAGGGTTTGGTTTGGTGGTTTTGTGAGTCAGGATCATTCAGTGGGTGGCACCACATCCGTTTATTACTACCTTGACGTTTTGAAAGTTTGGAGACCCTGACAGTGTTGTGTTTTGAACATTCCCATTTTACCTAAAAAAAAAAATCGGTTGCCTTCTAAAATCAGACAAAATTGGTGTCAATCAACTCGACTTTGTTTGTGGAGCAAAAAATATTGTTTGTATTGATTTTTTTCAAAGATATTAATGAAAGTTTAAAGGTCAATTTGTGCTGGTTTTTGCAGTAAAAATGATCACCTGATGAAGATATTAGTAA